AACTGGGCCTAAGGCTGTCATCCAAGGCTGACTCAGCTCTCCTTTCAAGACAGTCTGCTGGGTGTCAGCACAACAGTTCCTTCTGCCTGCAAATGTGGCAGTTCAGCAATGAGGACAGTGGGCAGCAAAGCCAGGAGGAAAATGTCCCTCGACACATCTCCCCCTTTACAAAGAGCTCCTACATAGACCCTTTCACTGTTCCATTTCATGAGCAGCAAAGCATAGAGAAAGCAAACAAGGACAACACTTCTCAGTTCTGCCACATCCTTTCCAAAAAGCTCTTCCATGGGCAGAAGTGGAATGACCTCAGCACATTCCCCCACCCACAACAAACAACTCAAAGGAGGGGTGATGGTCCTTTCCTCTCCTCTCCAAGTTGCTGATCTAATGAGGTGGCCATCCTAACGCCGCCGCTGGAAGCTCTACGGCCGGTCTGCCCCACACTCACTTGGCTTCTGGACAGAAACTTCTACCAAGACCCCTCTAACGGGGTGCCCTGCATATGCCGCCAGTTCAGGACAGGGTGGTGCACCACTTCACCCCAAATCTTGAAGGCTAGGATTCCACCCAATGCCTTAACCGCCACTCGTGGTGGCTCTTTAAGATGCCTTGCTGCCAAACCACCGACAGCTGCAACCAACCAGAGATCCCCTCAGACAAATCCGCCACCCAAAACTCATTCCCTGAAGTGGATAATTCCTAATTATTGAATGATGTCAGGATGGGGGTTGGCACGACTACCAAGTTGCTCAGTTGCTCAACGCAATGCCTTGTTCCTTGCCACTGTTGCCGTGAAGGAGCTCTGACCAGACAATTATGAGGCCTGGATACTGAGGACGCAGCATTTCGACATCAGCAACCGCTGCCTTGATAAGCTCAACACCCTTCATGGAAACCAAGTCATTTCTGTGCAGCTGGAGATAGGAGGCATGCAAGTTATTGCCTGGGGGGGGGGGGGGTTTGGCTCTGATTGGCTTGATCTGAACTCAACTTTTTGGTGGGAAGTCCTGCCCTGTGACCATGCCAGCCAGGGAAACTCCCAAACAGCAGGCCCAACACATGTATTCTGGCTGTCTAGGATGGAGGGAAGGGTGAGGGGCCACAACCACTGCACACCTGAAAAAGAGGCGAGAGCCCATTCTGGATGAAATATGGCCCTGGGGAACCTGGCTCAAATCAATCCTGGAATAGTCCTAAATTCCTAACCAAAAATCGGAAAATTTGAAGCAGAGAGGATTGGCATTTCTTTTTTAAAAATATTTTTATGCCATTTGCACCAGTTTACTGTTCAGCTTGGAGGGTGGAGGGAAGAGAACGCTCGTCTGAGAAATCCACTTGCCAGACAATGTTGCGGCTGCTGCCCATTTGGTTTGATTTATTAAGAGCAGGAAATGCAGTAATTCTAGCTTTGTGCTTTAAACCTTTGTGGGGAGGAGAGACTCGTGCCCCTCGAGTCTCTGGGTGGCAGCTTTCCTGAAGGTACAGACAACACACGCCGGATTAATGAAGGATTGTTGTACTTTCAAACAGCGAGAAGGTGGCTTTTGTCTTGTGCACTCAAGGCATTAGGAACCTTTTGTTTTTGCCAGCTTAGTATGATTTCCTTGAACGGGTGCTAAGCAGCCACTCCCCAAATCCTTTACAGACAGTTGGTTTCCTTCCTCCCTTTTCTTTCCCCTACCAAAGATGAGGGGAGAGAGGAGATTACAATTCCAACCCTTAAGACTTTTTAAAATACTGTTTTTATGGCAACTTTCAGAGAAAAGCCTGTTGGAGGTCTGGAGTGCATTGAGGCTGGCCCAGTAATCCATTTCTTACATGCAGGAATGGATTTTAAAGGAATTCCTGGCGGGGCAGGCTGGGAGTTTCTAAGGATTTAAGTTCTGGTGCACAACGCTGCCACAAGCAGCTGCCATGGCGAAGGATTCTCCCTTTCCACACCAGCTGTTGATCATCTGTACTCCGTTGGCAGGGGAAGGGACATCTGTTCTGAGCCCTACCAAGCAGAACAGGGAGGTGCCAAAGACCAACCGCCTCAGTTCCTGATCCAGCCAGGCAAGGAAAGGAATCTTGTGCCAGACCACGGTCTTGGGTTAGAACGCAGGAGGGGACTGCTTAAGTCAAGCAGGGTGGGCTTCAAATGGGGGGAGAGAGAGGGATGGGCTGGCAAACTGGGACACAAGGAAGCAGACAGGAAAGGAGGGGGTGGAATGGGAAAGCACAACAAATGCAGAGGAGATGCTGAGGAAGTGGGGTGGAGACAACTGAGAAATTCTCCTTTTCTTTTGCAACAGCATCTGAGCAATCCAGTAGACAGCTTTGTTAGAAATGAGGTGGGTGAAAGGAGCTTGGTTTCTTACGCACGCTGTGTGGGCTGGGTGTTGCAGGAACTGGGGCCTAGAGGCACAGATAATGAGTCAAGAAGCAAGCACCTATTTGCCGAAGAACACAACCCCTGGGCTGAGTCTGAAGGCAAGAGTGAGGTCTCTGATTTAAGGTTCCTGGGAGAACAGAAGCAAGCAGGGAGTGGTAGCTCCTGAGCTCCATGACATCAGGGTTTGGACCTTCTAGTTCTCTCCTGCTCAGAAGTCTCTCTCTTGCTTTGGGCTAAAGGATGGGGAAAGCTTCAGGTCAGAATTCCTTCCCACCTGTCACCAGCACCTTTCCAATATTGCTGGAATCTATTGAAATGGGCTAATGGGTGGCTCTCCATTAGCCCTGTGGAGAAAGGCAGCTTTGCTTTTATGCCTCCTCTCTCCCAGAGCTGGCCCAAGACATTTTACTCTCTAAGGTGGAGAGCAAAATGGCTTTCAACAGGGCGTTTTCCCCCCCAGGCGGAACTCACTTGAGCTCAGCTCTGGCACCTCTCAGGATGAGCACCATTGCTGTTCTAAGAGAAGGGGGAAGTTCGTGGTGAGCTCTGGCACCTCTTTTTCACCCCGTTTCACGTGCAGAAGCCAGCTGGACTTGCAGTTGAATCTTACCTTGATATTAGCAACTGGATCGAGTCCACTAGCACACCTGAAGGCAACAAACTGAATTAAGAATGTTCAGGACTATTTAGAACACAATGCTGTATTTGCCAATAGTTGGGAGGAGCAACCGTGAACGAGTGTCTGCTGCCACCCTCCATAATCTGTTGCTGGAGGCAGTTACCTACCTTTGCCTAATGGTACTGCTAGCCCTGCAGCCTTTAGCTCTTGGACTAATATAGCTGACTGCACCCTTTCACTAACTGGAAGTGGCAAGCAGGTCAGCTGCATTGGCCCATGTTAGAGCGCTGCTGGAGGAAAACCATTCCTCACTCTTCCCATGTGAGTCCAGGGTTTAGTGCCTGCTTAGGGCAGGAGGGAGAGTGACAAGTCTTAGGCTATCCTGCCACATCTAGTTACATGATTTTCTTTTTTGAATTAAAGAAAACATGTGTATCTCATGTGGAATTTATACTAGCTTTCCAGTTTTGCAGATTCTACAACTGATGTGAGGTGGAGTCCGTCTTCATCCTCTGGCACAGTGGAAATGGACACGCCTAACTTGTGACTGACTCACCGGATCACAAATTTATGAGTGCTCAGTATTAACTTGCTCTGGTAGGTTCCAATTGGATAGGATTAAGACACTTCTAATTGATTTATCATGCAGTTAATTGCTTTCATTTACTTTTAGGCACACAGCACGGAACCTGCTGCCGCAAACAGGAACACAGAAATGAAAAAAATATGTATTTGCCAGTCAACTTCTTGCTTCATTGAAATGAGGAGTGCATTTTGTGTGGGGCGGGAATTACCAATGGGGAGGAAATGCCTTTGGGAGAATTGGCCACACCATTGCAAAACTGTTCACAAAGAAGCGGGGAAAACAGAGGCAGGCAGCCAGTGTTTTCTTGCATCAGTTTGGTCAAAATAGGGATGTTTATTGGAGTACGCATCCCATAAGAAGTAATTCTGCGTGGACCAACAACATCCACCTGCAGATGTTCCTTCCCTGTCAATGTTCTGCACAAGACTTCCTCCTTCCCTCCCAATCCATTTTCTTTTTATAATACAGTGGTACCTTGGGTTAAGTACTTAATTCGTTCCAGAGGTCTGTTCTTAATGCTAGCAAGGAGCCATGAGAGCAATATCAGAGCAATATTAGTAAATGATTAGCTATGGCTTACAGCAGCCTTTGCCAATCCTGTGCTGTCCGGATATTTTGGACTATAGCTCCCATTAGTTGCATGCAGCGGTCATGCTCACAGCAAGAGAAGTTGGGAGGATGCCAGATTGGTACAGGCTGGTTTATTGTGGTGTGAGATGTCAGCCAATGTGTGCGCTTTAAAATTAAAGAAGCACTGTCTAAATAGGATCAGGCATAGGACACACAAGAGGTCCAAATTCTGGTTGCAGGATGTGGGGAAAAATAGAAGAGACCATATAAGGAAAACTTTTCAGAATAACTCTAGCATTGTGAGTTTCTGATAAAATCTACTGAGATTTTATGACAAATTCTGTTTCAGGCACAAATAACTTCCCTCTAGTTTTGTTTTTTTTTAAAGGAGACATCTATATTTATCATCTGAAACAAAATAATTTATCAATTTAGCAGTAACAAAATGAAATTGCAAGAGATTATGAGAACCAAGGGGAAATAGCAAAAATCAGAGCCGTGTTTTGCCTGGGGGTACTGCTCAAATACAGCATCGAGATGTGTGACTGAAAAATAGAACTTTTATACTTGAGTCTATTGTACTGCATAAATATAAAGGTCAGCGACTCATAGAATATACTATCAGCTGGATCACATCAAGGGTTTATTTCTTTTGCAAGTCTTGGCATCTCTTCTAGTTAATTCAGAGACAAAAGCAAGATGTGGGTTCAGGTAAGTGATCCTTGAAACAAACAAGAGGAAATACCTTTGAATAGCTTTCTTTCAAAGTCATACCAAAAAAAATATTTTATTCAACAAACCATGTATTTCAAGTCAGGATAAATATCCAATAATACATTTTTAAAAAGAAGAAGCCACTGGGATTAGAACTAAGTAATTCTACTGTCAAAAAAAGAGTATGGAATAATCAGGTGGGTTACTTTAAACAGTAAACATAACCAAACACAATGGTTTGAATGACATAATAATATTCGGTTATGCCTACAGTTGCTTCTCTCTAGTGCAGCGTTGATTTGAATTGCTTATGGAAGATTTGCTTCTTATTGCCTGCTCTTTTCTGTAATCCTGTGTTTGAAGTGCATCTTGTGTCTGCTTGAACTGAGGTATACCAGAGCAAAAGGGCTTTCTCTCAGGATTTCTGGCATGATCAGGTTCCCAACATCCTTCAATCTATTTCTCTTAAAAAGTAAGTTGTAAGAAGTGGTTTTTAAACATATATATATGCTGGCTTTTAAGCTCAACCACTGAGCTGAGCCTAGATCCCTTCCTACTAGTTCTCAACACAAGTTAGTATTCCTGACCATTCTGTTTCCCAATGCCTAAAAACATTATACCCAAATTAAATAGTTTATATAAAAAAATGGGAAAAGGGGCCAGCTGCTAGCATGATCCTGTATCATACTTTGCAGGACTCTAGTTAAAGAAATCCACAACTGAAAGGCTGCCTAGATAAAAATCCAGTTAGAACATAAATAGCCATGAGAAGGGAAAGCAAAGGCCTTGATGTTGCCCATCAAGAGTTGGCACCCGGACAGCACATGTGTCACCTGGCCAGTCTTCCCTACTATGGTGAGATGTACTGTATTTCTATTTGAATGACTGGGCTGTGTCTAATGCTGCCATTCCACTAGCATAGCAGGCTTCCACTTGTGTGATGGAACTTTCCCCTTCGCTTCCCTGCAGTGCTTTCCCCACACCCTCAAAATCTTCTCCGGAGGGCAAAATCTGGAGCAGATTTTGAGGGTGTGCAAGCAAGAGAGGAAGTCCTCTTGCATGAGTGGAACTCTATGCCTGCAGTGTTGGATGCAAGCCATAGCAGTTATTTCTATATTTGTATCTATTTGTATTAATTCACATATATAAAAATTATGTACATCTAATTTTTGTGATGCCTTTTTTATTGGCAGTGTGTAAGTTATTATACTACCAACTGCTGCTGTTAAATCTGCAGAGCACAATCCAATCGGAAGTTAAGGTTCTTATGGGAAGACACTATTTGGCCGGCCTGCCTGCCCAAGTATCATTAACTGTTCTTCCCTGATGTCATAGAATGTAGAGACATATTCTTTTAATGCCATGGGGTTTGAGTGGTACAAAGAAATTTAAATCATTCTGGAGCTTTTTGCATAAATATTCTAGACAGAAAGCAAAAAAGGAGAATAGTCACAGAGCAACATGGCATTGAGGGTAGATGTTAAATGCTTAAGATTCAATGATGTAAATTCTATATTTGATAAAAAGTGGCAGGTAAAAGGTTACTGAATCTATAGATAATAATAATAATAATAATAATAATAATAATAATAATAATTCATAGCATTACCCCATACAACAGAAGCCCTGAAAGGTACTGGTCGGTCAGTATTATTATCCCAGTGCCGTAGACAGGACACAGAGACAGTGGCTTGCCTAACACCTCTAGTGAATTCATGGCAGAGTTGAGTTGCAAAATCAAGGACTTTGATTCAAAGTTTCAGTCATGCATACTTTGTTTTGAAATTTCAGCCTATGCCTTAGGGAAATTAACACTACCGTGATTCTTTGTCACCTACCCAAGCATTGAGAAAGGTTGGGAACAATTGTTCAGTGTAAATGCCTCCTTGCAGAAACTGCTGAGGCTCAACAGAAGGAGCACAACTGTACATATAAAAAAAATGCAAATAAATCTTTGTAAAGTTATCAAAGGACAAGAGAATAATGAAGATATAGAGCCTCACATCCCATGTTTGTTTGTTTTTACAACTCTCTCTCAAATTGCAAGCCTGAAGGCAAGCACTTCCTTATTGATATTTGTAAGCTCCTCTGGTAATCTTTTGTTGGTTGAATAGAAAAATAAAAATGTTTTAAGTAAAATAATAGTTTATATGGCCGAATCATGCAAGACAGCTCTTCCACCTCCATTTCTGAGTGTTCTCTTCACTATACTTCCTTGAGGGTGCTAAAAACAATCATGCCAACCATGACATGAGCGTTTGAAATGACCACACAAAAATGTTGCAATGATTCAATCAGCCTTACTATAATTGATTATATTTAGCTGCATTACACAAAGCTGCACCCAGGATATGGCCCAAGGGTCATAATGTGAGCACTTTTTATTTCCTTGTCAAGCTCAAAGAGGTTGTGCATGAATACCCGTGTAAAGCTATGCACTGCTTATTAACCATTAACCATTATTGTTTTAGTTCCCTTACAGATTTACTGACATACTGTATGAAAAGAGTTTGGTTGAAGAACATAAACATAACTGGGGTTTGCTCATTCATATTTTACGTTAACAAGATAAAAGGCTTCCCAGATAAGGAGCAAGAGGCACTAACCACCTACTCCAAGACAAGAGCCCTACACTTAGGCATTTTGAGATGCTCCACATCTTACCTGGCAGGCTCAAATATTGTGGATACTGTTTTCTGTAGCTATCACACATGAAGTGCAAACAATATACTAGCATCTTTAAACACAAGACTGATCCTTCTCAACACATTCTGTCAATGTTTAAAGATGTGGGTTGTGTCATCCGCAACGTATATATTTGTTGCAGGGAACACTGGTGTAGTCACAAAAAGAGTATCTGCTGCGCAAAGTGTGGATTTGGCCTAAGGTTAAGTGATGACAAGGCAGCATTCTCAAGAGACAGAACCAGGAATTGGTCTTTCTTTGCTTGCACAGGGAGTCTAATGTATGCCTTCGAAATCCTTCTTTTCTTCATTGCAAGGGACAGCTCCACACATGAAAAGGTGAACATAATAGTAATAGTGCCACTGTATTCTGCTCTGGTCAGACCTCACCTGGAGTACTGTGTCCAGTTCTGGGCACCACAGTTCAAGAAGGACACTGACAAACTGGAACGTGTCCAGAGGAGGGCAACCAAAATGGTCAAAGGCCTGGAAACGATGCCTTATGAGGAACGGCTAAGGGAGCTGGGCAAGTTTAGCCTGGAGAAGAGGAGGTTAAGGGGTGATATGATAGCCATGTTCAAATATATAAAAGGATGTCACATAGAGGAGGGAGAAAGGTTGTTTTCTGCTGCTCCAGAGAAGCGGACACGGAGCAATGGATCCAAACTACAAGAAAGAAGATTCCACCTAAACATTAGGAAGAACTTCCTGACAGTAAGAGCTGTTCGACAGTGGAATTTGCTGCCAAGGAGTGTGGTGGAGTCTCCTTCTTTGGAGGTCTTTAAGCAGAGGCTTGACAACCATATGTCAGGAGTGCTCTGATGGTGTTTGCTGCTTGGCAGGGGGTTGGACTCGATGGCCCTTGTGGTCTCTTCCAACTCTATGATTCTATGATTCTATGATTCTATGATCTGAAGTCGAGCGAAAAGCCCACTTACTTCTTTATCTGGGGTTCAAAGCACAGCAAGGTAGTGCAATACACACACAATCCATTTAATAAATGTCAGCCTGAAATGTTTTGTTTAAATAACACCTATAATTGATTTCCCCTGATTTAAACCAAAAAGTTATTCGAGAGAAGATGAGGGAAATACTGGTTGCCTTAAACCACAGGGTTGGGTGGTGGTGTTATGCTTGGATCCTGCTTTTGGGTTTCCAACAGGCATCTGGTTGGTCCCTGTGAGAACAGAATATTGGACTAGATGGGCTCTTCTTATGGCTTTAATTAGCCAGTGTAATAATATAGTAACACATGCTTAGCACTTCCTCGTGGAATGACTGCATTTAAAGCACTTCACTCTGGTTAGATCATGTCCACACAGCTTTGAAACAATTTGCTTCTGCAGTTATATCCCTTTAGAATACAAACAACCTTATTTATCATAGTCCTTAGTTCTCGCTGCCCAAAGGCACTCAAGGTAACACATAGCATAACATTCTGAACCTTATAGTAGCTATATTTCATATAATACCTCCCTCTTAAATATTTAAATGCCACCCAAAATATACTCTTGGTAGATTCCAACTTAAAAAGCCTGCATTGACCCCTCCTTGAAATATCTGCACATCTCCTTTTCACGCTACTAGAAGCTGTCCAACATAGGCAGGATTTCTGTCTCTTATTAATGCCATGATAAGAGCAGCAGCTGAATCCATGGTCTCTTGAAGCTTCAAATTGTCCTGAAAGAGAGCAAAAATATACCCATTATCAGCTGCTTTCATTTCTAGGATGGGAAATCAAAATATGAATTTAAAATATTAATAGGGAAATGGTAGGAATTAGGAAGAAAAAGTAGGAAGCGGATAGGCCCATATCTCAGTGGCACATGACATCCTTTGGCTACAGATGGCCAGAGATTCAATTTTCGAGATCTACAATTGAAAAAGAATCTTAGGTAGCAGGGCAGAGAAATAACTTTGCACAATACAGTGAAGAGCAGGTTACAACAAGTAAAGCACATTAATATTAAATTTATTTTTTAAAGAAATAAACTTAGCTGAATATTTCCTGTTCTCTTCACTCAGTTTGCACATTTTTGACTGACAATGGTCAGTGGAAGAGGGTCTTCTCTATTGACAGATCCTTTGAATCCTTTGAATTTACAGATCGCTAAACGTTTTTGCTGTGTTCCCAACATGTTTATGTGCAGAACCTTTAGTTTCTGAATGACTGCTTTATGGTTTGGATTCATTAAACCCAAATAAAAATAGAAACAAGAATCAGACAGTCTTTCTAATATCTAGCTGGACCTGTGAGTGAGCACTTTGTTCCAGTGATATTTTGATAGCAAAGAACCTTTCTTGGAGTTTCTGCTGAATTAAACTGGCAGTGCAAACTGACTCAATAAAAGATGTCATGGTCAATCATATTTACAAGTGCTCCTGCCTTTCTTTCCATACAACTTTCTTTCTATAATGTTACAATCCTGCTTTTCAATATTCTCATTGAGGGAAGCCAAATATTCAACAACGGGAAACATCACAGACTTAGATACTTGAAAAGTTTAGTCATATTGTAAACCATTAAACACAGAAGGATAGGAAAAACAAAACGAGCAGCCGAGATCTTGTTCTTGTCCCACACCAATTATCTCACATTACCGACCACCCACTGCTGCCTCTATGGTTCTGGCATCCCAAATGTGTGATGCTTATGGAACATGTACAGAAAATTGTTTTACTCATCAGTAAAACCTGCAACAGCAATCCTAGTAATTGATCTTCCCTATGTATCACGTAAATTCTGTGGTAATCTACTTCCCCATCTCCAAAATGTAGACTGTATTGTTATTGAACCGCAGGATCCATTAACCTAGTACAGTTAATGCTGTATTGAAAAATCTATCTTCCTGGCGTGTAATATTTATTTTACTGTTATTTAAATGGATGATTTACTGCATTAATATACCAACCAAAGAACAAAACATTTATAGTGCCATGTGAATGTAATTTGGAAAACAAAGCATTTTGGAATCTTGCCAGTCATACAGTCTATAAATTCATATTACAAAAGTTTGATTCCACAAAAAGATATGCACCCTCTGCTTTTAAATAAGAAATGCCTTGTAGCTCCAGATGGATTCGGATGCACACTTACTACATCTGATTTGAGTGGTTTCCCACTATGTGTGGGCGCCCATACAACACACTGATGTCTACTTTTGCTTCAATACTAGTTGGATTATGGTAATATGCTGCCGGAAAGCAGTCTCATATTTGTTTTCTAGTAGAGTTATTGGTGCTCAGTAACTTGTATTCTATACATTCAGCTATGCCACCGTATGAAGCGAGACCACACATACAACACACAAAACAGCATTGCCTAGACAAGTGTGCGGGCCTTGGGAACAGACTAGAGGGGAACAGGCCTTACTCTGGTCTGCCCTCAGCCGCTTTAAGGCATTCTACAATCGGGGTTCCATTGCCAAGAAAGTCCTCCTTCTTGGTGACCGGGGAAAGAAACTGGGCTTCTTTATCCAGCCCTTAGAACCTTTCCCAGGCCCAGGCCGCTCCCCAGCTCTGCACCACACCCTCAAGAGCTTTTGCCTGGCTTAAGCATAGCCTACTATACAAATATATAGTACTTATTCTACAGCTAGATGTAATTATTCCATAGCTAGATGTGGAAGATGTGGAAAGGGCAAATCCACAAATGGTCAGCTGCGTCATTCCAAGCACCTCATCTACATCATCAAGCCACAACAACTACAAATTGATTAATTGTTTCCAGATACAGTGGTGACAAGGTTGGAATAGATAAGAGCCATTTTATCATCAAAACGTCTCACAAACATGTCACAGAGGTCCTCCAAATGTTCTAAAATATCACCCAACAGGCCACTAACCCCTCAAAGAAACTCTGCTGAATAACTTCCTGAGCAACTGTGAGCAATTCAGTGGGAGGAATCATGTTAACAGCCCAATACAACTCACAATTTCATAGTGAGACAAGGTTTTTAATAGAGGCACCGGCCATGTCAACTGGAAACTCCTAGGGTATTCATGAATTTATGGGATTCCTAAGTCTCCCAGAATGAACACACTTAATGGGCCCAACTCTTCTGCACAGAGGAATGTTTGCTGTCTGCCTAATTTCATGAGAAAGAGATTTAACAGTCTGGCTCTGATTATGACAATAGGCTCTCACCTTCAAACCACTTGATAGGTGAAAAATACTAGGTTCAGAATGTGCCCTGGAGAATGCATAGGCCCAGTAACAACACATACCAGCCCAACTGTTGTCATGAAGCCATGGAAGCCTAAGGTGACCCTTTTAAGGCTGACTTGGCATGAATGTTGATCGATTCTGACTGCAACAGGTTAAGCCAACTGTCAGGGGTTCAGGGAGAGAGGCACAGGGTAGGCAGGAGATGGAGAGCGATGGGGAGGAATTCCAAGCCAGCGAGGAAGAGGATGACAATGACTCAAGAGATTCCATGAGTCTTTCCAGCGAATCAGAGGATTCCCAGAAGGGGCGCCGGTGGTCAAGGCCAGGGAGCCCCAGGGGGGAAGTGTCAGGAGCAGGGTGCCAGCGGAGGATCCCAAAGTGGCAGCTGGGCGTCAGGACCAGCCTCCCCACCAGAGTGCAGCGAAGGGGGTGGAGTTTCCAGTGTGTCAGAGGAAGCAGCTCCAGCAGCAGAGAAAGGAGGGGGTCAGAGCAAGCCGCCCTCCCGGAAGGGAGGGAGCAGTGAAGGGAGTAGTGTAACTGTCAAAAGGAAAGTTAGAGGTTTGGCGCGCGCGCCTAGTTCAAATGTAGAGGCGCGCGGAAGTGCAGGGAGCCCGGAGGAGGGGCCAGGTCCCAAAGCCCGCAGGAGGGGGGGAAGAGCAGTCTGGGGATTCAGCGTCAGAGGAATCCAGGAGGGGCGAAACCCCAGTGGGCAGAAGGACCCTGCGGAAAAGGAAGGAGAGAAAGAGGTGGAGCAGCGCAAGTCTCTTAAATTGGTGCAGGGGAGGAACTGACTCAGAGGGGACTTCGGCGGTCTAGCGTAAGAGACGTAAGGCTGCGCGCCTAGGATGTCAAGCAAACCATGAACTGCAATAAACGCTTTTGTATATAAGAAGACATAGGCGTTGGTCTTTTGTGAGCTAAGACTTGAGGCAGCCTTGACACCAACTTTTAAAAACCATGCTATTTCACTGGCAAACAATAATGGCTGGGAGACAGAAGGCCAAGGGATCACTGACCACTGTATCTTTTTACCCTGGGTTCAGCTGAGTTGAACTTCCACTCCCAACTGAAATGAAGAATAAGCTTATATTTATATTGGCAGCTGTGTGTAACTATATCAAAAGATGCCCAGATGTTAGTTGCCGCAAAGAACTAACAAGAACTTGAGGTAGTATTCTCTGCAGCACATTTGGCATTTCTTTTGGGTGGTCTCAGTAAAGAATTCTGAAATAAAATCCCACAACCTGTCTAACAGAATCAACAACACACCTGCTTCCAACCGAGGGGGCAGGGAGAGACTGACTGCTATAACTGTATCACGTTTGGGAGGGTGAAAGCATTATTAAGATGCACGAACTTCACTTCCTTTTGCTGGTGAGGTGTGGCATCATCACAATGGTTTTGCTCCAAAAGCCCTTGGAAATCTGGATGATGTACTAAAACATACATTGTATTTTGAATACCCATCTTTCAGTACATATGTATCAGTATAAACAGAAGATTGTCAGTTGGCGACAGAAGAAAAAGGATAGTCTGTAAACTATTTTTATGGCTGCTAGGAGTTACATTTGCAGCTTAGAAGACCCACCACACTCCTGTGTTAAGGAAAACTGGTTAGACATTTTTGTACTACTGGAAAACACCCAACCATTCACCCAGACCGTGCCAGGAGGAAAGGCAAAAGAAAACAAAGGAAAATATGCAAAATTACCTTTAAGATGTAGATCACGGACAGGAGGCCTGTGACCCTCCAGACTGATTGAACTATATGAGGTATATGTTTCATATATATGCCTCATTCACTCACATCCATTTATGTCTAGTCTATTCTAAGAAAGTAAATTAACAATTTGAGGCACTAAAGGTGGACATATCGTAACAAAAAAAAAAGATGATGAATTCTAGAATACAAACAAAATATTTGTGAGCAGGAAACCTCTTTACCAAAAACACAAGAATGCAGAAACTACAATCTTTCAGATACTATTGGACTAGAACTCCTGCCATCCCCGACTACTGTTCATACTGACTGGGGCTGATGGGAATTGGAGTCTAACAACATATGGAAGGTTGCAGGTTCTCTACCTCTGCAAAAAATACACCCTTGCCATTATTTATGCCCTTACCTTAGAGTATTGTACTTTAACTGAACTGAATGTCTTTGGACAAGATAGTGATGCAGGAAAAAACAACAGAAAGTGCAACTTTCTCATTGTTTCCTGTTTTCAAGCATCTTAACATCTCATCTAAAACAGAATGCATTCAAACTGCATCGGGAATCTGCCTATCTAGAGCAGGAGGGCAGGGGAAGAATTAAGTGTTCTACTTGTGATGAAGCAGATCAAGAAGAAAGCAATGTTTTCATTTTCTGTTTTCCTATGTCCATCATGCATACACATATTGAGAATACAACCTCCAAATTCAGCTTTCAGACTTCAAAACCTAGAAATATGTCCAATGTGACTCATACTCAGAAAAGACCCATAATAATTAATGGACATGACTAACTTGTCCATTTCAGCAGGTCTATTTTGGATATTGCCACAATACATCAAGTAAATTAATAAAAACCAGCATACTAATAAACAGAAAACCAATAAACTAGTGTTCTACTCATTAGGCCTTGGCTGTTAAGATTTGCCACCAACCATACTTAATCAAGAACATCCTTTTTCAATTTTGCATAAAGCTCATCTGAAAAGTGTTTCCTCATTTGTTTTGTTTTTTAAGAATCTGCTTCTTATGCTATCTACTTCACATTGTTGTTTCACTGAAATGTTAGTCGTGCAATTTATTTCCAATGCAGACAGCAATTATTACGTGCAGCTTGCTTTCCACCTTCACCCTGTTCTCATGGTTTCGGAGGTTTAATTAAACCAAGATTGTCAGGTTTTTCTGTTTCTGCACTGTCCTCTAAACACTAGATTCTCAAATGTCTGGAACGCCATATATCCTATTTGAATATGTTTTCAATTCCCATTTTGTTTCATGAAATTTGTACTGCCCAGCATTAATTTGGAGTTTGAAACAAATAATTCTAAGTACAATTATGCTCTACAAAGCCAAGACTTTCTTAGTGACAGTGCTCATCTATACTCTATAAATCAGTGTTAATCATCATGAGTGGAGGTTTTCCTACTGTTAGTTGCTTCAAATCAGTTTTGAGAAGGAGGCCACACAGTTTTGAGAAGGCGTAGCCAGGGATGTGTGCAGCTGCCCCACCCCCATTAAGTAAATAAAGAAAAATACTTAACAAACTGACCAATTGCATCACAGATAACTCGGTTCTGTCCCCCCCCCCCAAATAAATCCTGGCTATGCCCATGAAGCTACAGTGTTTGTTTTTTCAGTTCACTGAATAATGCAGATTAAACTTCACATTTTCACTCTGTTAATCAAGTACAGCTATTTTGAATTATTTTAAAACCAAAGCCCAAAGAAATATGAATGAAACGTACAACTTGAAACTCAGTGCAGTCTAAGGTTTACATTAACACATCTGTAGCCTCAGTTGGGAACATAGTCAGTACTTTCTTTTGCTGAAAATTCAAATTAAAACCAATCATGTGCTGAAAAACACTGAATAAAAGAAAAATAGCAGTGAAAATATATCTTCTGTAACAAGGCTGAATTCCCATGCACATATCCCTGAAAGCAAGCATCACTGGACATACTTTTGAGTAGATAGGTATAGGACTGTGTTGAAAATGCAAGTAAAACAGTGGGAGAGGAGGAAAAGAGCCAACAAACAAGGGCAATTGGGTAGCAACTAAATTCCAAGATAATCTAGTTGTTTTTGCTTTTTTCCTCATTTCCACTTTTGTTCCTACAAAATTGTTTTGTCTCTTTCACACAGATTTGTGTTTTTAATTGTGGCGAAGAGTTAAATAAAGATATTTAATTGCTCTGCGGGGGGGAAATGTACATTTGTGTTTTCTGTTAAGAGTTCACCCTCAAAACTAGCTAGGCTTCAGCATAATCTAAAAAGAATGCTCTATGTTACTGATTAAAACAGAAAAATGACATGACAATACCCATGAGTAACTGCTTCCCCTCCAATAGTCAGACAGCAATAAAACTTGCTTTCAAGCAGACAGAAAATGCACCAACCAACAACAGTCTGTACTAGACGTATTTGCATAGTACACTACATAGCTCCACTGGTTTCAGTTTACATGCCTGAACAGCATCCCCAACTTTGATTCTACTGGATAAGGATTGTTCTTGGCTACAGCTCATGGTTAGCAATCTAAACCATGAGCCCTGGGTTAGAAGCCAAACTGTGGTTTTAGCACAGCGTAATAGTAAGAATGACCAGCGTAGAGCAAAGTGACTATCAACTCCTCTCCAGGTACCTGCACATTCATATGGTTCAGGTACACAAAGGTATAAACACAAAGCTTGTGGTGTTTTATGAACCCGGCCATAGTAAAAATAGTAAGCTAAAAGCAGTGAACTACTTGAAGCTCCCATTTCACCCATTGCTGTAAATGGGCTCCACACTCCCTTATAGTTGATCTCTATTAGGGAAAAACATGGGGAGGGGTTTGGGAACATAGTGTTATATAGACCTTTGCTGCTTCACCACTGACTTCCAGCACAGTGTTTTCAGACTGATTTGTTTTTATAAGACGTTTTAATGTTATGTCTTACTATGCATGTGAAGGTCTTAGCCTACAACTATCTGAAATTATGGATCCTAAACATTTCCATTATCATTATTATTTGTAATTATTCTGTGTGGGAGTGCTGGGGCATTCTTGCAAACAAAAGAAAGAAAGAAAGAAAAAAGCAATGTTGTATATGCACACTCCTTATTTGGCTGTTTTATTTCTTTTCTACTACATTGCATGGTTTGATAGTGAAATAGAAAAAGACGTTGTGTCAATGGTTTAATGGTTTCTGACAAACCATAGCCAAAATAATATTTTTATGCCATTATGATAGATGCATAAAACAAGGGTTATCTACAACATGTTACAGTAAACTAAAAGCATTCAAGGGTTGTTTCACACACTATGTGTGCAGGGATATTTTAAGATATTTTAAGAATATACCTAAAAATATAAACTATAAATGCAAATGCAAGTATCACAAGGGCATACTTCCCAAGGAGCAATTATTGTGCCCTAACATAACCAAATATTGCAGCCTAAAACTACCAAATTAATGATATTTGTAGTTGTATCCACAATTGCTGAAAAGATTCTGTTACTAATCCCACTTAAAATGTTGTTTAAAAAATGTCAAACATTACTGAATCAGAGTAGCTGGGTACAAAAAGAATGTCCTTGAACCCTGAATCCATTAGGTCCAGAGAGAACAGGCAACATAATCCAGGACAAAGTTTTCCACGGACCTAGGATGGGGAAGCTGTGGTTGTTGAACTCCAACTCCCATCAGCCCTAGCCAGCATGTCCATTAATCAGGAATGATGGAAACTGGAATACATTGACATCTGTGAGGCCACAGGTTCTCCATATCAGCCATAAATAGATGCAACCCAGAAAAGCATCTGCAGGACAAATAGTGCATGGTGACTCCAAGAAGGAAGTCAAAGCACACTCTGGGGACTAAGCATTGAAACACCCATTAGAAATGTGTATTCTGTGATCAAAGCTGGAAAGCAAGAATGGTCACCGTTTAAACAGCATGAACATATTCATGTAGAAAGAAATGTGTTTTCAACATTGCATTGGCAGAATGCATGCGCTAGCATGTCTTGTGTCAATATAAAATGTAATAATTTTGGCAATACATTTATAATTATAATCAGGACAAAATGAAGATCTATTGCCTTTTACTGTAATTATATTAATAAAACTACTGCTGACTGATGAAGAAATATGATATTTATGCTCCAGGGATTAAAAATGAGAAATCACTGACGGTCAAAACAGTTGAGCAATCTAGTTTCTGGTGAGGTATTTCACTAGAAAGATAACGTAAGCCCTTCCTGAACTCCGTTTTCTTCTGATCCCCCTATTTTAGACAGCCTTGTTTCACTGGCAACTGTGTAACTGACTCACTAGCTTACAATTATAACATATAACAACAATGGTGTCTATAGATAGAACAATTCCATTAAAAAATACAAAATGGTTGTAACTCCAAGAGCAGTTTGGTGCTAAAATCTCTTTGACCCCATTGAGCTTTAATTAGCCAGTATATACAGCTTTACTCTTCTTTAAACTGTAACTGAAAACTAGTGTTAGAAAACTGTTTGCAAATTAATATTATTTATACCCTATTTTTCTGTACAAGTACACCTAAAACAGCTTATAAGAGTAGACTGGTATCTGCCACATTTTAAGAGTCATTTTAGAACATTCCACTCTTACATTAAAATAATAATTTAGGGATGTCTTGGCTCCCTGGCATCTCCAGACAGGACTGGGAACATCCCATATCTGAAACCCTAGAAAGCTGCCGTCATTTAATAGAGACAATACATACTGAGTTAAATGGACCCCTTGATACTATGCAATTTCCTATGTTCCTATTTTAGCCGTTGACTTCCCAAATTAATTTCTAAAAAGAAAAAAATGCACTGCTACATTCCATCAGCCCCACGTATTATAGTTCAGACACCTTGGATCATCTGCAATGAAGAACAAAATGTATTTTATTTCTATTGATGAGCTAGCTGCTGCTGTAAAATTTTCCATGGCATAAAGCAAATCGAATTAGACAAACTGATAGTCTCACAAGTTATATATGAAGAGGTATCACATGTATGCTGCCTTGGGTACTATGGTGGAAGGAAGTCAAGATATAACTGTTATACATTTTTTTTAAAAAAGTTTTTTCCCCCAATCAGGCACTGGTTTGTGTGACTTTTTTTCAATTTACTGACTTGTCAAGGGACACTGACAAGTATCATTTTTTTCTTTATTTAGGAAGATATATACACATTGGTACAAATAAAATATGTGTGTGTGTTTGTTTTGTATTTTGCTCATTATGCAGTATGCAAATGGAACCATGCACAACTGAAAACAATTTAACAAAAAGTACAGAGAAACATGGGGGCAGTCCACAAAGTAGGTCACATATTTAAAGGCCTTTTAAAAACATTCATTTCTTCCCATCACTTTATTTCATTTTAACCAATACCACATCTCTCTTTTGTAACTCTGCTCTCACTTTCCCTTCTCTTTGTGTGGCATATGCTACTCAAAGAAATATCAACACTGTAAGCTAGACCTCAGAGTACATGGAAGGACACTGTATTGGTGGCTTTATTAGGCTGTAAATATTTTCCAGCGTTACCTCCAATAATAATCTAAAGCAGAGGTGGCTATCTTGTGGCCCTCCAGATGTTGCTGGACTACAACTCCCATTCTACCTTACCATGGCCATGCTGGCTGGGGCTGATGGGTGTTTATGAGTTTATTGGTGTCTGGAGAGCCAATGGTTAGGCCCCACCCCAGTCAGAAACTGTGTTTTGTTCTTAATTCTGTTCTTGCCTGCCTGCAAACAGACGTAGACAGCCTAGATACAGTTGCCTGCATACGGTTCAATAAACCGAATTGTGTGGCCCATATCTTGTGCTACATTGGATGCAGTTGTGTTTTTCTGCACTTTTGTCATGATCCATCTTGCTGTCCATGAGTTGTTAGCAGCATGAGTAGCATTTTAAATTTTACAACGTCGTGTAATATCACATTACCTTTGATCAGCAGGGAAGTCAAAGAAACACAATCTAATTCAATGGATTCAACCTCATATACCTCATATGTGTTCATTTGGTACACACATCATTCTAGTACACACATCATCCACCCGTCATCCAATAAGCTTTATTACTTTTAATAGTAACAACCACCCTTTCCCTGGTGGAAATAGCTTCAGGTTCAAGAAGAAACAATTTCAGTGGGACCAGAAGCACATCTATGAGCTAGTTCACAGATCAGGCCTACATGATTGTCTTGGGGAAAGAAAGTTAGACTGCATATCTTTTTGAGAAGTAAATAAATATAATTTAGACAACTAGAATTAATTGAATGTAACCAAAATTTGCATAAGGAACTGCTGATGTATCAGGAAAATTGCTCACTTCTTATCTTTGTTGAATTTAGTTAATTATAATTATACTACACCATCTTTTTTACTAAATCTACATGTACATCATTATGAAACACCTGCAGCCAGCATATTATTGCCTATCTATTGTAGAAAGCAATAATTATAGCATTTAGCTCCATTTGCCTTGATGTTCTGATACAAGTTACCACTGATTTAACCATTACATTCCAAGAACAAGACGTATTTGAAAGGCCAATTATATTATAATTATTATTTGTTCATATAGCAATTGAATGCAATTTTTAAAAATGTTTTAGCACTTTTATAATTAGTGACATTATTTACACAGCAAACACTTGCTACACTCAAAACAAAGAGCAGTATAGTTTTTTACCTTTGGTTATAAAATACATTTCACCGTATGTGATTAATGAAGGAGTGGGTTTAGAATAGCATTTTGGCTTAAACCACAAAAGATGTTTGCTTGAGTGATAGAAGGCTTCTTACATCAATGCAAATTACTGAGAGATCACTAAAGGGAATCAGGGCATGTGTGGAAATGAACCAGAGAAGGTAAAATAATATAGATGGCAGCAGAAATAATTTTAAACTGATTATAAAGAGCTTTTGAAGTCTGCATGTGGGATTGTTAAAAAAATTCTTTCATTAGGAGTTATTTTCCCCCCACCATGGTATGTTACTGCTGCTGTTGGCATCCATCTGTATAGGGCCTTATATGTTAGCACCAAAAGCTTGAACTTGGCCCAGTAACAGATAGGCAGCCAGTGCAAAATCTTGCAAACAAGGGGATATATGCTGGTGTTGCAGCATGCAGTTTGTCCCTTACTTGGGAATAAGACCCACAGGAATCACCAGGACATACTTCAGAGTTGGGATCTGGCTGCAAGCCCAGCTGTAAAACTGTTGCCTTACATTAAGAGTTTGGGTGTAATCCTTGATGCCTCCGTTTCCATGGAGGCGCAGCTTACAACAACAGCCAAAGCAACATTTTTCCACCTTTGCCGCATCAAGCAGTTGGTCCCTTACCTTTCCCGCCCCAACCTGGCCACAGTGATCCATGCGATGGTCACCTCCAGGCTTGACTACTGTAATTCGCTCTATGCGGGGCTGCCCTTGAAGCTGTCCCAGAAACTCCAGCGGGTGCAGAATGCTGCAGTGAGGCTCCTCACAGGTTCTCTGCCATGGGAGCATATTCACCCAGTGCTTTTCCAGCTGCATTGGCTCCTGGTGGAGTACAGGGTCAGATTTAAGGTGCTGGTTTTGACCTTTAAAGCCCTTCACAGCCTAGGACCCTCATACCTACGGGACCGCCTCTCCTGGTATGCCCCATGGAGGACCTTGAGGTCCATATATAACAACACCCTAGAGGTCCCGAGCCCTAAGGAAGTTAGCTTAGCCTCAACCAGAGCCAGGGCCTTCTCAACACTGACTCCAGCCTGGTGGAATGTTCTGTCTCACAAGACCAGGGTCCTGCGGGATCTGATTTCTTTCCGCAGGGCCTGTAAGACAGAGTTGTTCCACCTGGCCTTTGGCTTAGAATCAGTTTGATTCCCTCCCCCTCTTTCTTTTTCCTTTCTCCTCCTATGAAGAGACTGTATCCTAATGTTTTAATGTTGTATCTTAATCTTTTAAATTGTATTTTAATCAACTTGTTTTTATTATCGGTTGTTAGCCTCCCTGAGCCTGGTCTTGGCTGGGGAGGGCAGGGTATAAATAAAAATTGATTATTTATTATGATGATGATGATGTAACTGATCTATTCTGAAAAGGAATCAAACTGAGAAGTCACGGCAGAAGTGCTGTCCATTAAAGAGATAATGGAGGGGTATTTATGTAGCTGAGCATATTTGATACCAAGCTATCCACAAAACTCAGTAGCAGGGATGGAATATTTTAAATGTTTCAGCACCTTAAAAACAAAACCTGAAATGCAAATATAAGAGATTACAGGCTAATTTCTCACAACAGTTGAGAAGAATAGTGTCAGTAAATTTAATCTTATATCCCAAGTTCTAAAAATGCTAGAAATCCCTTTAAAAAATAAATAAAAATCTGATGATTTTGGCTCATTCTGGGAGCACTAAAGAAAACCTTTGCTGGTGTGTGATGCCTCCAGGGTTGGTAACCCTGCAGTAACAGAAGATAAATTTAGTCACTTGGCCTTTATCACAGCCTTTCAAAACCAGTGAGCTCTGATTTATTACCCTGGCTTGTTCATTAACTAGAGTTCCCTCAGTTCAGACATAATAAGGAATTCCATTTAGTTTAAAACCAGTAGCAAATGTATCCGAACTTCTCACCTGGCACATGCCAGAGAAGGCAAGCACTCAAACCCAGTGCTCATCATGGTTCATGCACTTACATCAGAACTGGCTCAGTGTACCTCCAGAAGTCTCACCATTGCAGACCTGTTTAGAAGCATGGAAGTTATCCCCTCACTAGCAATCCATTTCTTAGATATGAATCATAACAATCAACACTGAAACATTCATCAGAATCTATATTTTATAAAACAATGCAAGAAGCACAAAATACATTAAGTCAATTTTGGAATGAGTAATTCAGATGCCCTGTCTTTGACAACTTGTCTCTGATCATGAATCAGTTGACACAGTGTGTACTTTTCACTTGTTTTGGCAAACATGCTGGTTTCCATTAGCAGCATACTCATGTAGTGTTTTCTTTATACACTGTTATGTTTAAAACAGCAAGTCTGTAATAGCTTTCAAAGAGGCCTGATGTATTTGTGGTGAGGTTTTTGTTTTGTTTCATTTCAAGAGCTGGTTATAAGATGCCTGGTCTGTGGCTGGCCTTTTATGTTTGGAATAAAGAACCTTTATTAGCATCTCATATCAATAAAAAAATCCACAATAATGTGGGTATTGTGGTAGTGCAAACACAGGATATTAACAATTTCCATGGTCTTTTTGAAATATCACTTCGTTTCTGAAAGGCATTATTCCTGCATACAGGTGGAAATTCCAAATGCAATTATCGTGCTGCTGGAAAAATTTAATATTTCCTCAACGAGTGGTTTTATTGCAAGTGCTACATGGTGAGGATTGTACCTGTGATATCACAAACAAAAAGGGCTAGAACCCAGCCTTACCCATGCCATTTATATTTTGTAGATTTCTAGGGTTCTGTAACGAACCGAAAGAGGCCGTATCTCTGATTGCAGTATTTAAGTGTGAAACAATCCTAATTGTCTGAAAATATGTTCAATAACTGGGTCCAGATCCTGTTCTAAAGCATAACATTATTTCACTTTTATGAAGTTGCTTGATTACACATAGTTATTCATCACTCAGCAATTGTAGTATCAATTGATGGTTGGCATTTGCAAAACAGTCTTCAAAGATAAAACTCCAGAGGGAGAGCTTTTATATCATCTCATCACCCTAATTTTCAAAGGAAGCAATTCACATACTGAGTTGCAAGTCATTAAGTGATGAGAAATCAACTACATGCATATGTGAATCGAGAGTCCAAAGAAGCTAAACACACATAGCCTAGATTTTCTGTTCTAACTCCATGAACAGTAATTTAATTACACCAAAAAATGAGGGGCGGTTAAGATGACAGAATGATTGAATATGGAACACTACTTCCAAATTGAGTGGCTAGAGCAGAGGCTTTCAACTTTTTTGAGTCCACATCTCCCTTGAACAACTGCACTCTTTCTGCAGCTCCTCAGTGGGGAAATGCACTCCGAACCAGTTATGTCACCCCTTGCCTGCAGAGCTGACAGCCCCTCGCTCCTTTTTGAACACCCTCCCATGGAGTGTTCCTTCAGCCTCCTCTCTTCTCCCCTCTCCTTGGCAGTCCTCCAGGCAGACACCGCCACTGCCCCTGGTCTCTGAGCCACTGCCCCCCATCCATCCCTAAGAGAGGTGCCTCCTCATGCTGCCCCACAGGGGCAGAGGTTGCCTTCAGCCTTAGAAGCCTGAGGCCAGCATCTTATTCACCTTGGCAGGCAGCAGTGACAGCAGAAGGTGGCGCTGGGCCTGCATGGTGGAAAGGCTCCCCTTCAACACTGGGCACTCAGTTCCCATCAAGCACAAAAAGGGCCAGTGGGGTGCCTGCCTGCCTGCCTGCCCAGCATCCCACATGTTTGTCTGTTCCCAACAGCAGGGGCTGGGGGACTGGCTGGCTAGGCTCCTTCACCTAGTTGCTTACTTACTCTGAGGCCACCTTAGCTCCTAGAAACCAGCACTCCCTGGCCAGCCCCTAAGGAACCATTTGCCTGGGGAGCTTGTAGCCAGGGCTGTTGCAACAAACAGCCACACAAGCCTTTGAGAGGCAGAGATGCGAGAGGGCCTCAGAGGAAGGAGGGAAGGAAAGAGGGACAGAGGCCAGTGTTGCCTGCAGCATCCCTGACCGTCATTCAAGGCACCCTAGGGCGCCACGGCACACTGGTTGAAAACTAAAAGAAAAAGAAAAAGACAAAAATCACATGCAGTAAACTGGATTGTATCCAGTGATGCCCTTGTGTTCATGAGATAGCTTTTGAGCCAGAGGAGATCTCTACTAATGAAAAAGCGGAGGCAATTTTCACCAATTCACCCTCTGCCCTCCAAATCTACTCTACTGGGATCAGGGACTCTCCTGAACAATGATGGGGTACAGCAGAACTTTCTTTTGTTTCTTCTTCCCTCATCTGACCACCCTGCATAACAAAACATGGCAATGTGCAAGAAAAAAGAGGAAACAGCAGAGTAGTTCATAGTGTCACAAGTTTTTAAAAAGCTGGGGGGAAAGCAATGTTTCATCAGTCACTGACTACAGTTAAATTGCTTTCACCTCTCAAATGTGACTTACCCTCATCACTATAAGAATAATTTAGTGCCTACAAGATGTGGGTCACAACATTGATTTGAATCGGTGGAAACAATTGTGAAATATAAACCTAAGATTTACTGCTAGTTACGCTTTAAAAGAGAACTGTTTAAAAATGATCCACAGGTGGTATTTGACACCGAGTAAATTAGCCAAAATGTCTAGAATCTAGATCTAAGGATGACTTATGTTAGAAGTGTAAAGAAACATCAGGTACATTTTATCATTCATGGTGGTCCTGTAGAATAGTAAAAGAATTTTGGGAGATGGTATATAATGAACTTAAGAAAATGTTTAGAAGAACATTTCCCAAAATGCTTTTGGGAATAATAACAACAGAAATATCAAAAAATCAAATTACTCTTTGGATGTATGCGGCCATAGACACTTGAGTTCTGGTAGCACAAAACTGGACGAAGTACCAACATAAAAAGAATGGCATCTTAAGCTATTAGAATATATAGAACTGGCCAGCATGACAAATAGATAAAGATGACAAGAATTTGAAAGAGGATTGGATATTACATATAGATTATATGGAAAACTATTATAACAAAAAAATAACCGTAACAGACTGACAAAAATACTCAGCAGTAGAGGCTATAATGTGGGATAATATAAGATAATGAAGAGTAGAGTAAGAAAACGCAGTTGAAAAGACAGCAGTTAGGAAACCAAGGAAAAAGTGGAAGTGGAATTAAAGGCAAAGTTTAGGTGAGTAAAACAAATTGGAGGAATAAGCTATGTTACTAATAATATTTATTTGTATATGTCATATTTATGTTATTTTTCTTTCTTATTATCCTTATTATATAATACAGTATGCACTGATGATATGATAAAACAGAAAAGCAAAGAAAAAAAGATTTTTTAAAAAAGAATAATCTAGTGCCTAGAAGTCATTTGATTTTTTTGGAATTTTAATGTTGGAAAGGCAGGATACAAATTTAAGAAACTGGTAAATAGGACAGTGGTTTTTGCACATATTACAGCGAAGGATTACAGTGTAATCCTTCTAATATACAATACACAGTGAATATGTAAGTCTTCTGTGCTTTTTCTCTAGCAGGATGCAGCTTAAGAATACCAAAGGCAGAGGCATTGCCAGGATATGTTCATCTTATTGAGTAAACACAGGTTTACTCAAGCCAGATGCAAGTAATTGCATTCCTTTTGAATTTGTGGTGGAAAATTCAAGAATTTATAGGCTGGCAATTATGGACCGAGTACAATATATTTATTTTACATATTGTCTGTTGCTGCTACCTAGCAGAAAGAACCCCCTTTCAGAATTAGCATAAAATCATACTTCATGGAATGAAATAGTAAACAGAAGCATTTAGCGGCTAAAGCAAAATTACGTTTCCAGATAGATTGTAAAAATCAAATATAAGTGGTTCAGACTGTCAAAAATGGAAATTTGATATATTATAAGATTGTTCTTTTCCACCCATATGGTAGGAAAATGTTTCTCACTCTAACTCAAATACAATTGCAGACCAGTATGTATTTCTTCCACAAACTACATTCATAATTCTGAAGATTAACCCCTTCTAGGAACAAGCACAGGTGCAAGGGAAACAATCTATATAAAATATATATGCAATATGATTTTTGAAAGACTAATCTGTAGTGAGCCACTAAGCAACTTTATGCACATGCATGCTTGCATACAATGGAACTTTTTCAGTGCATTAAACTGGTTTAATGTGGGGTTTGTTTTGCCATGCTAATGTGTCTGCTTGGCCTTGCTCACATTCCTCTGCTTCATGGCCCGAGTAACTGCCCAAACCACAGTCTGTGACTCATGGTTTGCATGTACTGATAAACAGTGGGCTGGCACTTAACAGCTTTGGGCACAAAGCCTCTCTTTGCTACCATAGTCATGATGAGACTGAATAGTTTGCTTCCAGTTTCAATTAACCAGTTTAGTGTTATGGCCAAACCCTAAACAGTAGTTGGTTGAAACAATCAGCTTCATAACCAATGGTTAACCATAGTTTGGCTAGGTTTGAACACAAAACTAAGCAGGGGTTAGCCTTAATCTGAAGCAAAGCTTTCCAACATCAATGGAGGAAGAGAGGGAATGGGAAGCGCTTGAGCTAGGTTTGTTCTTCACAGTCATAAACAATTCTTTATCATGACATGTAAATGTGGGCACTGAATCATAAGAGTCAGAAATACCCTGAAACAAGACCTCATTCACACTGTAACAATTCAGTAGAAAAGTACTGTATATTATTGTATAAAAGTACAGGCAGTGACCATTTTGAGTGTCCTGTTGAAGCACGACCACTGACATGTGTGCTCCTTTTGGCCTCAGAAGGGGGCAGAATGGGCTTACAATGTCCCAGAATGCAAGTTGTTTCCTAAACCATTGGATATGGGCCTGAGAGATATCCATTAAACCATGAAACACTGTAGGCGATGTTGTGGCAAATGCCTCACAGGATTGTTGTGAAGAAAGGATGGGATAGGTTCATATACTCCACTTGGAGAAGGATTGCAAAACATTTCTCTCAGTTAATTGATTTATCTTTCCGGAACAAAAAATCCTCAATGTTTTCCCAGCCAAAAGCAGAAAAAGTAAGGTAATATTAGAGAAGAATCATCCAGTATTTAAATGCCTGAAGTAGTCACACAAGTAATTTCAAAAATTAACCACAAATTTAAATGCTCTCCCACAAATTGAAAACAAAATACCACCCTTGGTGAAACATCGGAATTTTTAAATGACAAACACAGCCCTCGCTTGGAAATGGACTGAGAAAGGGAAACTTTGCCTTTTTAGAATAAGTATTTCAAGCTTTAATGAGATTAGCCTTTCTAGAGCTTTCATTTACAAGAACTACTAAATCAGGCATCCAGTTTTTAGTTTGTACTGAAAGAAAAATATACTCAAAAAGCTGTTACACATCTGCTGTCGGTATTCTTCTTAACCAAGTTTACCTACAGTTAAATGTAAGCCCTGACATCACCCTTTAAATGGCAATACCTGCAGCAAAGGTGTAGCATGAATGGTAAGAACATGCCCTTTAAAAAGCAGTGGAGATTCACAGGGAAACCCAGAGCTCAGCGGGCCCTCTGGCACAAGTACCTAATGATTTAGACTAGATTCACATATGAATTGAACTTCAACCATGCACTGTGAAAGAGAGGGTGGAGAAGCTGCCAAGGTAACAACTGGATTTGTCTTGAAGCATAATTTCTGTGAACTGGTACAGTCACACATCCAGTATGTGCATAGCTGAATTCTGTGAGCTACGGCTACAATTTCTGGCATTAGCAAGCTGACAATATGTGATCTATGTGGAGGTGCCAATTCATATAAACCACACAAATATCATCATATGTCCTGGCTTTGAGCCTCACACCCTGTTCCCTTCCAGTGTGATCACACAGGGCCTCATGCGTCAACCAGTCCTATAGCACTCCCTGACAATGTTGCTATGTAGGTGATCAAGTCAGGCGGATCTTGGATCCTTTTAGGAATTATTCTCTGTTTCTGCACTATTATGTCATCACAGATTTGCCCTCATGCATTTCACAAGAAAATGCAGCAAGTGTCATCAACAACAATGCAGCTGATTTTATTTGAAAGCATAGATTTTTTTACACACAGAAAGTGCTGCTGTGACACATGAGATACGTTCTTGGCATTATACATGGAATTATACTTACTTGACACCAAGAATGGCTCCAGGCAATTATTCAAGGACTGACATTTAAAATGACAATTCCCCAATGCAGAGTGTGATATATAAACAGAGCCAGAAGGAACTGTACTCCAGTATCCCTCATTATACTGGGATTACATGGCTTTCTCAGAAACCTACTTAGGCTTTTAATCACAAATTCCTCTCAGAACCATGAAGTTGGATGGAACCCAATAGGCAATCCCATCCAACCCGAAGCTCAATGAGGGAATTCAGAATTAGAGCATCCTCAAAAACTGGCTGTCCAGTCTCCACTTAAAGTCTTTCAGTGAAGAGAGGCCACCCCACTTTGTTCCATTGTTGAACTGCTCTCACTTTTAAGGTGTTCCTCCTAACGTTCAGGCTTTTCCTCCTTCCTAAACCCCCCCTTTTTTTGCGTCAAGTCTCTCAGACTGTAAGCATAGGGGCTGGGACTTTTTTTATTACTAATATCTGTAAACCACATTAAGGATTCTGCAGAACAACAAAAATGGACAGGAACTTTTCCAACCTAAAAAAACAGTTGTATTTTTGTCACCCTTCAGATTTTTTAAAACTTAAAAAAAAATCAAATCAGGTGGGTCACAAAAATCCATTCATAAATAGGTAAATCACATATACTTCACATTCATTCAGCTACATACCTTTTGGTAATGTATACTGAGACCATATAGCAAAATATTTTTCTTTTCCACTTCCTTTGCAAATTTAGCAAATCTTTGCATTGCACTGATAAAAGACACATTTTCGAAAAAATCCAAGTATACCTAACAAAGGGAGAGAAGAGAAAAACTAATTTTTAAAAAATTAACTAAATTCCCAAGAAACAAAAAAAGTAAAGAAAGTCGATTTATTGCTATTTAGAACTGCACCAAAGAAAATATTCTGTGAAATCCTTGGTCCAATGGTCCTAATAGTATCTGCAGGCAAAAAAAAAAAAAGGACCTCTGGCAGAGAGGGAGGTCCTTCCTGGATAGCAGTGAAACCTTCTCCCATTCCTGATGCTTTGCTGGTGGTACTCCACCAGTGGTGGAATAAAAAATGGGGTGGTTTAGAGGCACATCATGAGTGACCAAAGATCCACAGAATCTTAAGCTCTCTTGTTTCACTGACATGCCTCTAAACTGAGCTTGAATCTAGCATAGTTAATGCCCATCAACTGGAGTCAATAGGAGGAAGCAAAAAGGATACACACAACCAGCTTCCACAGGATGGTTCCACTGCCACCTGGACTTAGTAAAGTGTGACAAGTCTGCCACAGATCTTCACACCATCAGTCGGATTAGTTTGGCCAACAGATGCAAACATAATCACACTTCCTAGGGGGCAAGCTTGACTGGACACAGTGAAACTTACTTCTAATTTAACATGCAAACGATTGCAAAGCAGATAGAGTGGTTCTCCAATACTATCAAAGAAAAGTACCATACCAGGGGGCCACTAGGGGGCACATTGGAAGATGGCCGACAATACCATCTCTCCGACCCACACGGGGTAATTAAGAGGCTGTTATGGGAGTAGGCAGCCTCCCTTGTTGCCCCAAGGAAATGGGGAACACTGCCCTTGCCTGCTGTGCCCATAAATCACCCCCTAATTCAAAAGAAAGGGGTGAGGGCCCTAGGCAGAATGCCCCCGTGTGGACATCGGCTCTCCTGGACGCTGTCTCTGATCGCGCACTAGTTGCAGCAATTTGGAATAATTAATTACAAAAGAAGCAAATGCACATATTTCAAGTGAAGAGGGGAGTGAAGTCTGCTAATTTAAGTGACCTCTGCGAAAGAAGACGACGGGCTGGAGAAACAGGAATATTTTACGATGAAGATACACCAAAGGCGGGGTATGTTGACAATGGGGCTGAATGGGGGGGGGACCTTTTTTACTTTCCTTCTATGTGATTTACAAGAACCCCTCCTCATTAGAACTGTCGGTTGAACTGACCCAAGCAGGATGATTAAGGTCTGTGTGGAGATAAACTTTAACCAAAAGTATGCTTTATGGAGACCGAGAAGCAATAAGAGCTTTTGGGAATGGCGCAGCAATTAATTTGGAGTTGCCATCTTGCCAAAGGATTTATAGCCGGGAGGAAGAACGGTTTTGTTTTCAGACTGCATTCCTAGTGAATCTCCTCAGAGGTTTTGAGAAAGGAGGCAGATTGGTGAAGATTAATGACGCTAAGACTGTTTTGATGTAGGGAAGTGATGTTATATGGAAAACGTCTGGATATGGCTACTGGATAAAAAAAATAATATCCACGCAGGATTACAAACTGTTCTAACCAGCTTGTGGAGACTATCAGAGGTCACAAAGAGAAAGGAAAAATATATGAAAATAACAACAAGAGATGTGGAAAAATAATAAGAAAGGACTAGATAGTACCGTGAACATCATAAGGTTAGATTTGTGGACATTAAAACAGCAGTAAGAAGCAAGAAGTTAATTGGATCCCTTCGGAACTTGAAATATGGGTACTCCCAACAAAAAATTAAAATTCGGCTGTGTAATTTGGAATTTATGTAATTTGGTTTGATTTGATGTGATTGGTCGGTTAATAAAAAATTATTCTTAAAAAACAACAACCAAGAAAAGTACCATACCAACCCTGCTTACTATTTTAGTACATTGCTTTAAATGTTATTCTGGTGCAGAAATTTCCCTTTAAAATTTCAGCTGGAGTTAGAGGTGACAAGACACACCACCAACATGATTAGACAATCCTAATCTGGAAAAGCATGAAATTTTACAACAAGTTGTTGGCATTCATCTGTCTCAAACACTATGTTAGCAGGACCAAAATGACATCCCTGGGGCGCAAGTCTAGGTCCTGGCCTGCCCAGATGACAAGACCCTTCTCCCAGCCTTGCTGATGTGGTCCAAAGGAAAGCAGAGCAATACAGTTGGCACCAGCTTGGCTGCAGGAGTTGCTGGAAGGAGGCGTAAAGGGCACCATCCAACCCTCTTAAGTGCTCCACTCCAGATTTTTGTAGAGGAGTCACAGGTGAGAGCTTAGTGCAGGGTGTGGACCAAAGGTGGACATACTATCCCAGAAGGAGCACAATATGTCCCCTGCCAGAGGTACTACCCCTCCCCTAAAACCCCATGCACCCCGACAATAAGTATTCAATAAATAATATAGTTTTGACTTGCCTCTATTTGGTATCTATTACATGTTACAGAGGTGACACTGATGCTTAAAAACAGAATCTCATATGTACTGATGCATTAGAAAATTTACTTTATAATATAATAATGTAATATATTAACCTACCGAGATAAGAACAACAGAGTATAAAAGAGAAGCATTTGTGTTTTCAAGTATTTCTACTAACTGATGTGTTTCTTGGAAGTTAGACAGGTTATCCTAAAGAAAAACAAGTTTCCAGTTAAGAAGAATGCTTTTAAGATGCATAATGTACTTATTTAATTACACTATCAACTTCTCTTGCTCAGGGAGGCTGTGGCCCATCTCCCTCAAGCCTATACCCTACTGTAACAAATGAAGCACATGTAATGTAAATAAAAGGATATTATTCCCTAATTTACTACTTTCTCCCCTTTCCTCTGTTGTCTTTTTTGTGTTACTGTAAATCCCTCAGGGGAAGGACCTATCCCCTTGTACTTTATGAAGTTGATCTCCACTGAAGTGGTGCTATATGACCAATAAAATAACAATACATTTGTAGTATTGCACTAATATTACAACTGGATTCCCCATTCCTGTGCATTGTAGGGTTACAGAATCTCAGGATTTGTAATGGACAAAAAATAATCTAAGCGAATTTTTCCATAAGGAAAGAAAAGTGCCTTTATGGAGCCACAAACAAATGTAACTTCACTGTAGAAGAGACAAATTCTGCCTTGGCAACACAGCAGGTGCATCAAAGAAATGTGTTGGCAGAGCAAATAGAAGAATGTATTTTTAAATAGCAATCTGTCTAATATGTTAACAATCATATAAATAACTTCTGATAAAAATCAATAATCTCATACAAACAAGCCAAGTTGCAGCATAATGAAAAAACAGGATTGCCTGATTGGGGAAAAATGTCTTACTGACTACAATTGAGGTAATCACAGAGACACTTTGGGATCAAAAGCAGTAAGGATTTTGTGAAGTGTGTTATACTCTTTCAAAGTTACTTAACCGTTTTCCCTAAAGTTATGGCTTTATGAACATATAGTAGTAAATATAGTGGAAATACTGTAAAAAATGAAATTTAAAAGACAATAATTGTTCTAATTTAGGAATAACTTTCTACAATGTATTAAGAATATGAATACAACTTTAAATGGGATGTATCTGGTTGTAAAATAGATCAACATTACTCCGCCTGAGTCAACAGTCCAAGTATCAAACTGACAGAACTGATGTCTACATATGACATATGGCTCTGTTAAACTAAAACCTGTCCTTCACAACTGCAGGCCTGAGTTTCATCAGTTTGACAACAGGCCATGAAGCTTGTAAGGATGCCAATTTTACCAAGGACAATGCATCTAAGTGATGCTGTAAAGTTAAAATATGTGCTCGGAGACTACCTTTGATCTTCCATAATACTTACATTTATGCAAATAAAGTTGTAGCATTGTCCTAGTAATATATTTTGTAGATGACTTTCATTTTTGCAAAGGGACGTTGATATAGCTTTAACCAGCTGAAAAGGGAAATTGAGATTGTATTAATGAATACTCCCCTAAACAATGTTGTTGTCCTGCACATCTTAAACCACAAACCACTGAAAAATCCATGTGTTAACTACCACTTTAAAACAATGTAAGTAACACTTTGTATCATCATACTCATGAACAGAACAAGCATACTCAGGCCCAGCTCCCACAATGGTTTGATGTGAACTAGGAGTGTTCATTGTGGGAAATTTCTAAACTATGATTTAATGGAACCAGGCCATAAACTCATTTCATGCCCAGCTATAGGCCTCCTTAGTCAGTCCAAGCAGAACGCTTTTCAAAATACTAAAAAAGCGTTCTGCTTGGACTGGCTAAGAAGGCCTATAGCTGGGCATGATCTGACTGTCCTGACTGACTGTAATAAGACCCAAGGAAGGAAGCAATGTATTAAATACCCTGGTACAAGGAGTGATTGATCAGCTGCATGTGTTCTGGGAATCTAAAAGGAAAACCAACTCAGGATGCCAATTCAACCCAAGCTATAATCATCCCTTGGAAAAAAAATTGCCAGAGGCCACTGCATTTAGTGGCATGCTAAAAAAAAAATACTTGTACATATCTTTCACATTGGAATTCTCCTTATGTTGATGATGTTGAGAATCAAAATCTAGTACTTACTTTCACATGACTCTTCAGTGTTTCATGAAGTCCTACTTGAAAGGCATCTTCCTTCATATTAGTGAGAACACAAACTTGTTGTGATATGGTGTCTAAAAAAGAAAATTTAAAACAGAGGGGGGAAACAGTTGTTATCATCATCATCAATTCTCTAACTTATTTCAGTAAACAATTATTTTAGACAGGGTTTGTTTTTATAGAAAGAGGAATCGTGTTTTCTGCACTTGGAAAAACGGTTTTATAACAAGGGTTCTATACGGGTAAATACAGAGTTAGATATATCATCAGCTACCATGAAAATACTCCCTTCCCCCAACCTGAGGATTGTTAAATTTAACTTCCTGGCTACTATTACAGATACCATCCCTATCCAACTCAAAGACAACTCAAGTTTGTGAAAAAAGAACTGACCATAAACAGCCCAGTGTTTTATCCCATGGGTCCTTTTGGGAGGAAGGGTATTCCCTACTCTTTCTTTTTTGTGTTGTTTGGCAAACCATTACATGTGTAAAAACCACGATTCAAAAGCCACTGTAACTCTGGAATAAAAATGAACTTAATAATATAATAAGCTTTCTTAGTTCTATTTCTGTTGGTGTAGTTGTGTATCCATTTCTCCCACTGCATCTGTCATCCCATCTACGTTACATGACCAAGCCTTGTGTTCCATGCACCCTCCTACTGCACACTGCACTTAAATTACTTCCTCAGTTGCAGCAAACAATCGTTTGCATTTGCCCTCCAAAATCAGGCTTGCAAACAAGCTTCAAACCATGCTTTGTGATTTTGGTTTGGAAGGCAAGCACCAACCAGTTTGGGATGCAAAGAGCATACTATGATTTGCCTCAAGCCAGGAAAGTAACCAATTACACGGAGTGTGCAAGAGGAAGAGTTAGTGTGCTTGTTCCCATATTGCATAACTATGATTTGGCACTGCATATGAACTGACCTACTGGGTGCAATATTAAGCAGCCAACAGTGCATGCAGGAGCAAAGCATTCACATAATCAAAGGAGTTTAGGACATTTTATTGAAGCCCATCACTGAAAAACAGGCAGCCCAGATAACTGATCTGTTCCCCTATATGACCAGCTACAACAAATAATAATAATTTCAGTGCACTCATTTTTCACCCCTTCTGTTCATTGGCTACCTAGGATTGCATTCTATGTGAAGAAATACTAATGAACAAAGCCCTAAGTGTATTTAGCATAAAAAACTTCGACATATGATTATCCTTTGTTACACAACTCCCTTAATTCAAGTGGGATTTGAGCACCCACACTCTATTCCTGTGAAGTGGGAACAGAGCAGAAGCTACCTACACTCCAGTAAAGGAGCAGGGGGAAAGGGTGCTACTGTCAATGCAAGTACAACTAGGGATAAGTTAGATACCACTGATATAAAAGGAGTATGTTCATTTGAATGGAGGAGCATGTGGCTGCACAATGAGGTGGTATGTCCAAGAAGGGCATAATAAGTGATTTATTCCTTGAGGGCAGCCCCACAGTGAATATATTAATTTCTAAACATTAATTTCTCATTACCGCTAGAATTTGGGATCACATAATTCAGTAGTCAAGCAAGTGTGCAAGGCAGAGCAACAGTTCTAAAAACTATAGGTTCATTCTTCACCTATTTTTGAATGCACATTTCAAGGTATCCCTGAAAGGGAGACTGAAGCTTTACATGTTTCAACTGGAGGTTCAAATATATAGTTGCCCTAGGGGAAGAAATCCTTAAAGAGATTTTTTCAGGATGTTTTTGTACTATCCAGGTTCTAACTACTTTTCTAAATGAGTCATCCTAACTGCAGGATGAGGTTTCCCTATTTGCAGACTAATAATATGAGAAGGGGGAGAGAGACAGACATGCGCCACATTGTCTGCACATCCAGCAAGTTCTTACCTGTTTTACTTCAAGAGCATTAAGAATGCTTTTTTTATTATTAAACATGTTCTATTATTTTTCCAACATTGGTTGTTAAAGAAAGACAAAGCTAAAAAATGGAACACCATTACACTTTAAGAAATCATTTTATGAAGATAGTGAATCAAATGTTTAACATATTGGAACCGCATTGTTTGGTTACTTGAATGATCATTATATTTTTCTTACCTACATCAGTGCTCAGTTTAAAAGAATGGAATGTGTCCTTTATCAACAGCTTATATTGCCTACAGCAGAAAACTTTAGCTAAGCTTTCCTAAAGCATTTGGAACTTGTTAGCTGTATTTGCATAGGTAGGATTACATTTGTAATACAGATCACCAAATACTGCTCACATAATTAAAAGCAGATGATATACTAATTTCTTTTAAACTCTTTAATGTCATATCTTAATTGTGATTTGATCAATCACATTGGGAAACAACAAGGTATTGTTTGCATTTATTTGTTGTAAACTGCTGCTCAAATGTCTAGGGAAATATTACTGAATAACAATTTTATGTTTGCACAGTGCTTTCAGATGGTCATAGTACTTCATCTTACTGTAATCCTTATAACCACTACCATGTATAATTATCCCCATATTATGAGTAGCTGAGGGGAAATTTGGCTCCCTTAAGACCACCTAGTGGCTTTATGGCAGAGACAAGATTCAACCCAGTGATTTCCTGGGTCATAGCTCAGATTCACAGGAATGGGGAGCCTGTGACCTTCCAAATGTTGTAGGACTACAACTCCCACCAGCCCCAGCCAGCATGGCCAATGGTCAAGAAGAAGAGGAGTTTGGATTTGATATCCCGCTTTATCACTACCCGAAGGAGTCTCAAAGCGGCTAACATTCTCCTTTCCCTTCCTCCCCCAAACAGACACTCTGTGAGGTGAGTGGGACTGAGAGACTTCAAAGAAGTGTGACTAGCCCAAGGTCACCCAGCAGCTGCATGTGGAGGAGCGGAGACGCGAACCCGGTTCACCAGATTACGAGTCTACCACTCTTAACCACTACACCACACTGGCTGGTCAAGGATGACTGGCATTATAGTCCAGGGACTTCTGGAGGGCCACCAGTTTCCCATCCCTGCTATGATAACTCTCCCTAATCCTGGCTCACCAACAGGAATGGGAAAGAAATTTGATTCAGTTTGCATTTAAAGCCAAACCTACCAAATATGCGAACTGAAACATAGCTATCCTTCAAATTTTACACTCACAAAATTTTGCAGTGCCATTCTCCAGCCAGATACTTTTAAGACTCTAACTTGCTTAGCTTCCCATTAGGTACCATTGGACAGCTCTTATCTTATAATAATGGATGTACTTAAACCAAGTTAATGTTTAAAAGTTTTATCCACTGTACTGCTATACAAAATAGATTATTATAAAATTGATCAGCTACTATATTATGCAAAATAAGAGGCCATTAAATCACAAAGTTAATATGATCATACATCTATAAAGATAATGTTAACCCTGTGTCAGGGAACTGCCATCAGTGCCGGAGGGGGAGAGAGAGCTCCAGAGGGATCCCAGAGAGCGTCACGGGATTGGGAGAGGCAGCCCATCTTCTGGGGAAGGGAATCAGCTCAGCTCCAGTGGAGAAGGGGGGCAGATGGGGGAATCTGAGAGGGAGTCACATGGGTCCTCCACTACCTATGCCTTCCTTGCGCAGAAGGCTTCCGCGCAGGGAAAGTAGGAGGAGATTGGGCGTGAAAGAACTTCTTTGCTGGAAGAAGTTTAAGAAACGCCCACTGACGGATTCTACCAGCGACTGAGACAGCCACGGGTGAGTGGCTGTCCGGACAGAAAAGGTTCACTTAGGCAACCCAGCCAGGTGTGGACACCGGCTTACGCACGAGCAACCCCTTGAACCACTACACCCTGCCTCTCCTAACTGCACCTCCCTTTTTACATTGGATTCCCACATCCTCACTTTTTACATGATTGAAGCAAGCTGGATTTAAACACATGGATATGTCACATTAGCATGGCCCTGGTGTGACATATATGGCATTCTCCTAGTGGTCTCTTATTCAAGTTCTGTCCAAGTTGTGGAGAGCCAAATCTCATCCCCTTTCATTGTACCTGATCATACAGTCTGTAAGATAAGATGTATAGCTTGGCTATGTACAATCCTAATTCTGTAGGAGAAGCTCACAACCACTGATTCACTCAATAAAACAGTGGAATGCATTTGCATTAACATAGCCTACAGAAATGGGTCAACTTCAAACACTTGCATACCATTGTAAAATCCCATTCCTAAATATATTCCATGGAAAGAAGCCCCATTGTGGTCAATTTATATTTAGGGTTCGCATGTAACGTTGCTGCTGTGCAAATATGTACATTTTCATAATTCTCATCAAGGGTTCAGTGAGACTGCAGCTGGGCTAGTTACTGAAGTTGTCACACCTACTGATTTATACACAGCAGCTATACTACCTAAGTACAGTCATTTCTAAGACAGTTGCCATTGTATAAAATGTCACCTAAGGAGCTATAATAAGTATAGGCATATGCTCGGAAGAATTGAGGAAAGGTGGCTTGAGATGTATACAAATTCCCTTTTATACTATGTACAAATTCCCCTATACACACAAATCTGGAATAATTCAATCAACCTAGGGAATATGCTATATTAATCTCTGTTACTTTATATGCATTGAAGTCATTCACATAATTTCAAAGGGTGCTCTCCTACTATGCTGTACTCAGTGTAGACCAACTGCAATTAACTGACTTAACTTAGCATATAATTTCTCAGCAATTAAAAATATATTTAAATGTCATTAACTTCCATAAGATGTTAAGAGAAAACTGAATATTTTACAGCTGGATAACTTTGTTGGAAATATTTGTAGAACAAAAAAAAGAAGAAATTGTATTCAAAATTCAATAGTCTTAATAGTCAAGTACCTTTGTGTGAAGACATCATAGATTACTGACCGGTATAACATTTATACTACAGAAGCAGAAAAAACTGAATGACTTAAGAAAATATTTTATAGAGTCATTATTTGAACAGAATGTACTACCCAATTGTACCAAAAGAAGAAGGTAAAGAAGAAAATAGAAAACATAAGATGTGTCTGGATATTTTTAGTTTCTACTAAAGTGACTAGTAGAGTATGTGCCAAGAAATGCTCATTGTAGAGAATAAGAAAATCTATATCGCTTCAGACTGGTTTGTTTATGTAAATTAAATTCAGTTTTTTTAGTCTTGGCATTGTTAACCAGTTTAAAAACTTGTTAGTCTGAGCTTGCACAGCAGCTGTGGGTGGGCGAAACAAGTCTGCACAACAAATACAATGTTGCTTTGCTTACAGAATATCCCTAAATACATAGGTAAACATACAAGATGAAGTGTGGTTTTAGCTCATTGTAACTAGTTCCGTATTTATTTCTAAATCAGTCCTTGACATAGGAAATCCCCATATTTAAGCAGCTACAATTGTTTTAGATACATAAGTGCACCAGAAATCACACTTTCCCATGAATCTTCTATATGAACAAATATATGCAAAATGAGGAGCCAGGATCCAATTTTGCTTCTAATTTTAAGTGAAGTCTGAGTATCTCCTTCACACAGATGATTAACTTTCAACGACGGCCATTCAACTGAAAACCAGAGTAGTAGACTTAAAATTTAAACCACTTGAAGAATCAGGTCCAAATGTTTTCAGAATACACTGTTACAAAAAATAAAAGGCTGCAGTGTGGCAGAACCATAGTGTATCCACTGACTAATGGCTTCTAGGGCTGGTTTCCCTATGCAGGGAGAGGGAATTGCACAGAACAAGTCCCTACAGACACTGCAGATGAGAAAGCAGCTCAGTCAGGCTCAGTTGATTCTCTTCCACTGTTTCTCTAAGAAGCTACACTGATTGCTATCACCATATCCTACGAGGAACAGCAGCAGCTTGTCAGGAGTTTGGCGACAGAAAGAGAGATCTCTTTCTATCCAAACCAGTCAGCTAGGACTTCTTCCTCTTCTTCCTCCTCCTGGCTGCAGACCTTTGTGACTCTTAGACCAGCTCCACAGCACTGCCCCCTGGGAAGTTACTGAATTTTGAACCTAGATTCTCCTACTTGGCTTGCCTTGATTCTCCATGTGGACTGATATCCTGCCTTGACTTTAGCAAGCTGTGTGCTGTATGTAGTCTAACACCCCAAAGACAGGTCCCTCCAAGAGATGGAGCTGGCAATACAGTGCTAGATGGGATTTGATGGGTTGGGACTTGCTGCCAAAGCAGTCGGAATCAAAGCCCGAATGTTGCAGATCTGTCTCAAATAAATGTGGAGTGCAACACTAAATGAGATGTGAGAATCTGTCATGGTGAAGTGTGAAGGTGCAAGGTGATGGCAAGGTGAATGTTTACACTTCTCAGTAAGAAAGAATCTGTAAAGGCACTTTTAGAGCCTTGAAACAGAAGCCAATACAAGTTGAATCCGTGCAGCAGCAACCATGATGTGTAGTGTCACTAGCCATATGGATCTTTCACACTGCATCTCCCTGCTGCTGCAATGCCCATCCACAGAACAATGAAGTCCTCACTAATGTCTTGATTATGTACTTCCTGAAGTTCTGTTTTCCCCTTGGATAGGCTTTCATTTTGGTTGAAAGGTCAGCATTGTCTGACTTGAATCAGAGACAGTGCCCAAGGCCTACTTTCCATTTGCCTGGTTCCTTTATGCAACTTTACATGATTAAAGGAATAAGCTAAAGCTATTTATGTGGTTTTATTATTTTACCAGTCAACTTTAATTTCTAGTGTTTTCACACACAAAATGTGGTTTCATCTTGGTGACTATATGAACTGGCAAACTCAAGGACAAGCACATACCCTTAATTAAAGAATCAGCTGCATACAGATCTCGCTTGTAGGTCACCTAAAGGACAGATAAACCTAATTAGTTCTTCCACAAGTTTTTAATCACACACACACACACACACACACACACACACACACACAGAGTACCTAAAGACCATTTTCCACACTGAAAGACTGTCAACACATAATATTGTCATTTTATTATTGTTGTTATTTTTAGTAGCCTTCCATCTCAAGGCTATGTACAAAGCATAATGGATGAACTAAAAAAGTTAAAGCACACACAAACACAAAATATGATTTTAAAAAACACAGAGAATGTATGCATAAGGCAGAGACCTATTCATTCAGCTGGGAAAGCTTGTTGGGAGAACAGGGTATTCAGTTATTCCCAGAAAGTGCAGATAGTGGGTACCTGTTGTGTCTTGACAGGAATGTTGTTCCACAGAACAGGGACAGCCACTCTGAAAGCTCTGCTCCAAGTTACTGTATTATATTTAATTATATCTTAATTATATCTAAATTATATTTAAAAAGCACTAGAAGCCATGAGAAAAAATGTAAATCAGAAGATCTTCCAAATCTGAATTTGTATTAAGCTTTAAAATCTGTTCAGTATTAATTTTATCATTCTTTTAAAAAATGGCTACATTTTGTTTACCCAAATATGTCTACCATATTCTTTCTAAGAGTGTTCACCTTTATTTTGTTTTAGTGAAATAGTAAATTTACCATTTGCATATCTTCATGTCAAGAAGTTCATCTGAATTACTATGATAATTATATTGCTTCCCTTACTATGATAATTACATTATTTCCCAAAATCTAGAGTTAACATCTTTTATTTTAAAAAACAACAATCCTCTTGCTGTAATACTCTGAATGTATTACTAGTTCTGATCTAAAAAGTACTTTGGAGCAGGAGTGTTCTTTGAACAAGACACCTCATAGAGGAGAGCTCTTATGTCAGTTTTGGTAGTGAAACGAATAGGTTGCTCTGAACCTCACATGCTTAAAACTGACACCAGAAAATAAAGAGAAATTACCAAAACAGATTTTATTTATTGTGTGTGTGTGTAGTAACAAATGTCTTCTATAAACTGAATATACTGCATAGTGATACAGAATGATATATAAAACAGTTGTTACAGTATGATTTTAGCATAGACATAATAACAAAAATGTGGAAGGATAAGTCCTAGAAATTCTTTTAACACAAGATGTATACACTATTTTTTTAATTAAAAAATGTATCTTCATTCATTTATAATTATGTCACACACTTTAATGACATTGTAGTAATCCTTGTTTTTTAGAGATTAAGGGTACAATCCAAATCCCCCTACATGGTGGCAAGCGCAGGAGGCAGTGGAGGGAGAAGCCAGTGTCAGCCTAGAGCTGAAGCGGCAACTGGGCCTGAAATAGAACCAAGGCGATCATAGGATGCAGTGAGAGTGGCTTGGGATCCAACAATACTTGGCTGGCCCAGCCCTAACCCCTCCAGGAAACTTGTTTCGGGCTGCTGTTGACACTTCTATCCATCCACACATTCAGCAGGTGGAGTGGAGTAGCACACAGACAGAATGATATGCCAGGAAGCTGACTTTGCCAGGAGAACTAGATGGAGAACAGGGAGGCTTGAATTCTCCTGTAACTTGTGTTTTTATGTATTATTACCTCTATTCAACATATTAAACTATATATGTTTGATGTATTTGAAATAAACACATCAAAATGTGTTGTGTATATAATAGAATATTATATAAAAGAATATTTGAAGAGTATCGTTCTGTATGAGCTAAAAGAGAAGTCTACCAAAGTTGAGCCATTTCCATAAACTTCCTTTCTTGAATCCTGCCTAGATACTTAAAACCAGAGGAGAATGGGTTTTCCTAAGAAAAGCTGGATCAGGCTGATGAGACAGGCATCTCAAGGAACAACCTGCATCTCAATTCTACATTGCAGAAGATTTATTACATTCATCTGTGGCAGTGAAAAGTTGGGCATCTTAAAAGTTCCAGCATGGATATACAGCTTGTTATAATTAAATTGCATTCATGGTTTGTAGCATTTGAGCAATATTTTTCAGAAGTGCAATCATGTAACTATCATCAACTTTCCAAAGCTTCCCATTTACTAAAGAAAAATGTTGCTCCTACCTTCCATAAGTCAGGGGGCCCTTCAATAAGTTTCGCATTTGTTTTGCTGTATTTTAGTGCCAGATGCAAACATTCTGTTCCATAATCCAGGTCATAGTCACTGCACTGTAGACAATGTTGAAACAAAAATCATTGTAGCCTACAAAATTTATATACAACATGGCATTTTAAATTACTGTTTCTCAAGTTTTACAAATATACAAAGTTGCAATTGTGTACAGATTGACTGAGCACCCTAGTCCAGGTGCAGTCAATGTTTGGCTAATAGACCTCTTTCAGTGGCATTTGCATGATGAAATGTTACTGCCAACATCAGGTTGTGCCACCATGGTAATCACTGCAGAGGTCCAAATAAGCCATCCTGATCCATATAATTTTCTGCTTTATACTGTTATATGCCACATCAGATGATGATAGCAGTTGCTCAGCTAACAGTATCAATACTGAGATTATCATCTGTTTCAGATTTGGCCTACATTGCAAGCACGCACCATGAACGTACTACTGTGCTGGCACAGCTGTAACTGTATTTCTTCTGAACATGTATTTTCTAGTATAATGCCTCACAGCAACAGGACAGTAACCTAACATTATGTAACTTTGCCAATTTACTCTCAATAAACTGAAAGTGTTATGTCAAAAAAGGGCTAGATTATTTCCTGAGCCAAGATCTTCTGTAATTCTGTCCTTTGTTAACTGTGCCAGTGGAGAATTGTCAGAGTTAAAGCCCTTTCAATTCTGACTATACTATGTAAGCACAGTATAGCTCCTAAAATGGTAGAATCCCTTCTGTATTGCATCTGAGACATTCTGGAATACTTCAAAGCAATGCAAATTCACCAGTCGCAATTAGTAGCTTTCCCTCTACACATTCTTAAGTACGGGGGGGGGGGGGGGAGAGTGAAAAACAGAAAAGCAACTAATGTTTGTTAAGATCAAAATAACTAGCAAAATTTAAATCAGTATAAGGTAGATTGAGATGGTGAGCAGTAGTTAAGTTTACCTGGAACAAATACAGAACTTCAATGCCTCTTTTTTTTTAGTGATAGCAGTAAGTACTGGTTTTCAGGAGTAAGAGAAGGAAATAAGCTAAAGCTTCCTGCAAACAGAATTTCTTGTTTGATACTGTCATTTACCAAGTCAAACTCTCCTGTAGCTGTGGGAGATGCTACAATAGGAACAAGAAGAAAAGAGGAGATTGCCTCCTCCTAAATGCAGGGTCTGTTAGTCTTCACATTTGGTTACCAATATGGTGTGCTTCCACAAGAAAGGAAGATGCACCTCATCAAAAATCAAATATGACCAAAGAGAAACTAGATGTGTGTGATCCAGTGGCCAAGAAGTGAAAATAGGTGTAGCAGTCATGCTGTGAGCTTGTATTTCAGAAACTCAGTAGAGTAAAACTCCAACCAGTATTTTAAAAACTATTTTAAAGGCAGGTGGAATGGGTCCCTCTTTCAGTCAGAGGGCAATTCCATTATGGGCAAATTTCCAGAAGCCACCTGCCAGTGGAGTGTGTGGGCAGAGGTAAAACTGGTCAGAGCCTTGGCTGTGACTTTTATCATTGTGCAATAAGCTACCATATCCCAGCCATGCACAAGTCTGAGTTTTCTATGCACCCACATATGGTGGTTTCAGGTTTCACCTTCCCCAATCAAAACAAAGAGAAGACACCTACTAAGTGTGTTCTACTAACAAGCATTTGTCCATTTTGACTGCAGAAACAACTACACAGACTGGTGTAGGTTGTACACACCCAACACATAAACCTTTTCATCCATTTTGTGTGGATATTTGTGTGGAAGTTTAGTATATGTAACATAACATAATTATACAAAATGCTACCATTTGGTGGCAAAAAACCAAAAATATAATTTATTAAAATGAATATTTACTAATTCACTCCCCCAATAACACATGCAAGTCAGTTGCCTCTTACAGTATGGTGGTGGGGTGTGGGGGTGTGAGGAGAAGAGTAAGTTTCTTTTTTAATTGCCAAAATTCTTACCTGATGATATGCTTGATGGATTATATCAAATAAGAAAGCCTGAGGCATTTCACTTGCTCTGTACTTGGCACGATCTAGTGAATGGTCTAAACATCCGTCAGCAGAGGAAGCAATAACAGTGGAGACAAGAGGACAGATTGCTCCTGCTGCCTTGGGAACCAAGAAAAAAAGGGGGGGGGAGATTTTAAACACAGATTTACATGTTTACCTTAGTTAATCTCTGCTTAAAGAACAAGTCCAAGCAAATTTAATATTTTGACTTCCACATATATTGTTGGCCTGATCCAGACAGAGATTGAACTCTTTCTGATATATTGCATATCCTATTCTGCATGATGTCGATGAAAGTTGAGCCTCATACTATGGGAATAGACAGCTGCATGCATTATTTTTATCCTGTTGTAGCAAACAGTGAAAATTAACACTAAAACCTTTCCCAAAAATATTTAGCACCAGTATTTTATATTTGTGAAAAGCACACACATACCTATCATATTTTCAGAATCTTCTATTTATGGGAGGCAAAAAACTTACTTCAATTATGGAGGCTGAAGAACCAATTGACAAATTATTTTGATTGTTCTGACATGTGGAATTAGTGTAACCATACGGTGGTGGATAAATGGCAAAGTATTAATGTGACCACTTCACCAAACCCAGATCTATATTTGAAACCATAACCACGGGAATGTGGAGAAACAATCAGATGACCCAAGCCATCAAATTAAATATGACTCAGACTCTAGCGGCATCTTTCTTAAAATAATAATAATAATAATTAATTAATTTTCCAAATTATTACAAATCAAACCAAATTACTTTAATTTAATACAATTTCATAAACATGGTTAGTGAAATTCTGCTGTGTTGCCTTCATAGGCTTATACCGTAAATATCTTAGTTTCAAACGCTGATGGTAAGTAGTGAATGAATTCGTAGGACAAGCAATCAGGTAAGAGTTATGACACAATAGGTTAAATTTAGCCAACAATTCTACAACACTACACTAGAATATGTATTGCATGATTAAGTATTTTGAACTTTAGGCAAAGACCACTCCTAAGCAACAGTCTTTACATCTGTCTCTTGCTCAATAAACATTGATAATTCAACTCTGACAGAATTAGTTTCATTTTATCCATCCTCTCTCTCACACACACCATTTGGTGAATTGTCAGAGTCTCCTGGCTATTCACCCAATTGGTCTTATTTTCAGTTCTCAACTTCCTTCTGATTGGCTTCAAATGTCAGCAATAATCATGGAGATAGTCAGGACTTATGCTTTGGAAAATAAGTCTTAGTTGGGATCCTGTCCTCTACTGCAGCAGAGAAGAAATTGAGACGCGGCAGTTGTCTAGGGCTGACCGTTGACAACAATGGTAGCATTATAATACACTTCCTCACTTACAGGCATAACATTACACCACTGAAGGAGACAGGAGCCTGACCTGAGAAAGCACACAATACTGATTAAATTCTGCTCTTCCCTTGCCATTCCCTATTCCACCCACTTTTTGTCCCTTGTACTGGTGCCAACGGAAAGGGCAGCAGTGATGTGATATATTGAGACTGAAATCTATCCCAGTGTATCTTCAGGCTGAGCAAATGCACAGGAACTTAGAAGAGAACCTCTCCCTGCCCAGGAGGCATAAATAAACTCAGGGATAGTATTGCTCTGTAAATGAATATGATTAATGTCTTCACATCCTAATTAATCAAACTCTTTCCACATATTACTGCACAGAAAATATTATTTTACACCATTGAAACAACTTCCATTAGTGGGCATTCAAAACCACATGTATTTTCTAAACTAAAGTAGAAGAATTACCTGTGTATTTATGTTTTTAACAGGTAGAAACATGTACTTCTATTCAGACATCTGCGCTCCCACCAATTATATCTCTAGTAATCAACATGCTTCAGCCACATACTGTAATTACCACTTCTGTTAGCAGAACTGTCTTAAAAGAATTCTTACCCTAAATTTACAGAATACCACCTTCAAAGATAAAGCAACCACCAGCAATTATGAGATTAAAATATTTCAACTATTTCCAAAAAATATTTTGTTGTATATTTGAACATTAAACTGATACCGTATTAAGCTACTCTTTAGCATTAAACTGATACTGTATTAAGCTACTCTTTTAGCGTTAAACTGATTTTAGAAAAACTATTCTAATTTAGTAGCCAACAAAATCCAAGATTACTTCATAGCAACTTAATCACCCAAACTTATGACAACATTTGTGTGCCTGTTATTGATGCTTTCGTTATGCTCTTTTGTAAGACCTCAAACCCATCCCATCTTCAAGTAAATGTCAGGGATGCCAACAAAATTTGTCCACACCTGGCTTGGAAAGAAGCTTCTAGGGTTCTTAAAAACCCGCCTCCCCACAATTCTTCTCTAGCTCATTTCAGTAGTCAGGGGCACAGCTTCTCCTCATCCCCAGTTTTACTAACTGGAAAGTCACACAAGAACTCAGGGCTTGATAAATGGTGCAGCATTGACTTGATCAATTTAAGAAATTGAGATTTGGCTTTAGTGCATCCAGGTGTTCCCCTGGCAAGCGAGGGAAAGATTGGGAACCTCTCTTTCCCATGTCAAGGAGAGGTTGTCAAAGGACCTACAAATACTCCTTTATTGGCCTTTGCAAACTAATGTTCAAGAAGGACTAAAAGACAAAATGACAGTGTGGGGACAAAAACTGAGCTGTCTTTCCGGTAACAATACTTTGTGCTTGTTTGGAGTCCAATGTGGCTGGTATTGAGACTCTGGCCCAGGATTTGTCTGTCTATCTTGTACAGTGGTACCTCAGGTTCAGACTCCACTAACCCAGAAATATTACCTTGGGTTAAGAACTTTGCTTCAGGATGAGAACAGAAATCGTGCTCCGGTGGCACAGCAGCAGCAGGAGGCCCCATTAGCTAAAGTGGTGCTTCAGGTTAAGAACAGTTTCAGGTTAAGAACGGACCTCCGGAACGAATTAAGTACTTTACCCGAGGTACCACTGTACAGTAAAAAGGTAAATTTGTGGGCGATAAATAAATAGTCCATGGTATTCGATTGAGACTATAAACAGGCCTAGACAGAATGGTTACACACTAGAGTGGTTTTGGAATGTTAAAAAAGACAGTACAACCCAGAGTCTTAAATTCCTTAATTTGTAATGCTGAGAATGAACTGTTGAACCTGTGTAAACTACTCTGTGAAAACGGAGAATGATGTCATGAGTCACTGAAGAGAACATTTAACATAATTTTGAATTAAAGAGAAGAGGGCAAATTAGATCCTTAAGGCTGTTTACCCAGCTGGAAGGGGCCAGTTTTAGAACTTGTTGGAATAAGGTCAGCAGGAAGGAAGTTTTAATCTGTTTATTCTGAAATGCAAAATGAATAGATAATCAGAAGCTTAAAGCAAACTTTGAATCAATGACCTGACACCTGACACCATGGTGCATATTAAGCAGACTTCAAAAACAAAGGTTTAATGTACACAATGTATATTTATAATGCATGATTACAAAAGTGGATGTCTAGTAAGTAGTAATTTCTATTGAATTCAGTGGGGCTTACTCTCAGGTGGGTGGGGTTAGCATGGCAGTCTTTGTTTCAAAATTTCTTCCTTTACACAGTTTCTACTATGTTTCTGAAAATCCTAATCCCAATTTCCAGTTAAAACTGCTTTTCTCTTGGCCCTAAATTTACAGTTATGCATAAAAAGTTCCACACACGTGTGCCTGCTTCAACTGAGCACAGGCCAAAGTGCATTACGGCACTTAGCATACGGTGATGGCAATGGAGAAAGCTTGCTTCTCCATCATCACTGTGTCCATAGTAGCTGTCCAGCAGAGCTCTTCCAAGTGGTGAATGGGCTTGTGCCATATGACCAAGAGAGCATTGCTATGACACCCTTTAGCAGCCTTGTGTATACTTGCAAGGCACTTTAGGCTAGGGGCAAAATCACTCAGATTTGGACAGTCAGATACCAGTTAGAGCAAGTCCAATGGAAGTGTCCAGAACCCTGTCTGTTCTATCTCTACTGGATCATTTGATTATCGTGGTCTGAAGATGTGGACCAGGCTTAAAGAAGTGCAGCCAATCACCTAATCCCTTGCCCCTTGCCCACACTGGCTTCTTAGAGCTAGCGGAAGGGGATTTGCTGGGTAGTGAATGATTAATGCTTCATTGTAGGAAGGGAAGCAAAAGGAATCACTAACCAACAGGAACTCTAGGGCTTGAGCTAGACACCTCATGACTGAATGCTGGAGTTCAGCCCAGAACTGAAGGGATGTCAACCTCTGTAGTTTGCACCTCTGGATTAGCAAGGTACATGTACTAGAAGCCTGACCATCTGCCATTGTGTGGTCAACAAAGCTGTTCTGCCTGCTTCAATTTTCTGGCTTTAGTTCAAGCCCTCTCTCTCACTCTGTTACTTTCCAAATGTGGATTTCAGTGTAGGACACACAAAAAAAGATTGTCCCTTTCTTTAAAATTCTTAAATTGTTTTTTAAAAAGTTAAACAATCCTTTTTATTTTTTTTAACTACAAAGGGCTATTCACTTGTTATTTCTATCAAAGACACCTCTAATTTCTTGAAATGTCCTGATTCTGTCAAGATACTCTAGAAAAATTACAATCAAATCCTAAATTTAAAAAGCATTTATTTTAAGGAACAGTAATTATTTCTTTAGAAACAGTGGTTTTCTTAAGCTACATAACTTTATTTCTAAAGATCTGTTCATAATAGATAAGAATTCCTATTCCTATCAAAAACAGATACACAAGCAAACTGGATTCTAGTCAGCAGCTGCATTATTTCCTGAGGATTCAAGGTTCCCAACTTTCTACTGTATTCAGTCTAAATTAACCAATGTTTCCTTTTGGTTTTTACAGCCTAATTTTACCCAACAAAATCCTTTCATGCACAAAGAAGCTTTGTTGAATTTTTTTCTACAGTAACAAGTTTCGGAAACACAAGTCTCCTTAAATACTACCTGCTCCACTGATTCATAAACCTGTTAAAAAGGTGAAAGTACGGAATAAAAATAGGTTTCAGTTCATAAAGTCCATTAGGAAGGGTTTCATTATCTTTTAAAAAGTAACATCTAGGAATTTCAAAGTTGTAAAGGTTTAGAACTCTACAATGAGTATCATTACTGTGCTCTCTGTGCGCAATAAGTTATTGGGGAGGGGAGAGTCCAAGTACAAGAAATATTTCTTAGAACACTGGACTTGTCATAATTTAAAAACAGTACCACTTAAAAATGTTTTTCTGCAGCCTGATTTGAGGTAGTCATAATTTTATAGCTGAATGGTGTATAGTGTCCCACAAGTTATGAATCACTGGGAGAGTCCTTTAGACTGCCTTGGGGGAAATAATATTTCACTAATGAGCACTATAATGAAATATCTAAAATTTGAAGGAAGCCAGGAATAGGATCCAGAGGCTGTACCAGACCTCCTCCGTCTCAACCCACAGCTTGTTGGCTTCTTGCCCAACAACAAAGGAAGTCAAGAGAATCAAAACATTACTAGAAGGTTCAAAGCATACCTGAAAATTTAAACACCGAATAACATATACTGCACGAGAAGGATTGCATGAGATCAGTAAGCTTTGGGGAGCAATAGAGCACTCAACGATTTTGCAGGGGCCCACTCTGCTATGTCAAACAAAACCAAAGCAGAGCAATTTTGCTGTCTCTCTTGCAACTGGTGAAGAAAGAAGGAAAGCTTTCCCTAAGTTTTCAATACTGCACAAGAACATTTGCTGCATTTTCTATCCGATAACAAGTTGCTGCAGGTATGTGCAAGCACAGTAGCTCATTTTGTGATAGCACTAAGGCAAATTAGAAATCAGAAGAAAGGCACATGCCTTAAGGATGTTGATCATTTAAGTTACAAAGTTGCACTTCTCAATGAAATGACATGCACTAATTGCATTAGGAATGTTTTCAACTAGTCCCTGGAGCCTCCATGTATGGCTTGGAGAGGGGGGCGGTGCAAGCCATGAAGCAGCGTAAGAAAAAAGAAGCACAGCAGAAAACCTTGCTTCTAAGGAACCTTCAGTCATACAAATAGTATCTAAAAGAACAATGAAATTCACCCACAAGCAATTTTTTTAAAACCCTTCATTGATACCGTATATTAAGTGGTGTTCTTAAAGTCAGCCCAGGAGCAAATAGTCCTCGGAGCACTAACTTTCTGAAAAACAGTAACGGGCATAACAACCAGAAAATGCTGGCTCTTATAGCGTTCATCTAGTTATTATTCTACATGTTCAGCAAAATGAAGTAGTAGAGTGAACTCTACCATGTCAAGGTTGTTGTGTGTTTAATCTCTCCAAATAGAAAAGGAAGGGAGAAGAACAACCTCATAGATTCTTTTTTACTTTAAGCGAGCGGTTTGTTTGTGCATTTCACAGAGGTGATTTTTTTATTTTTATGAAATGCCCCCATTTGTAGCCTGAAACAGTGTACCACCGTAGGACAACCATGATCTAAAGCTAGGGCCCCCCAACATGGCAGCCATTGGGTTATTTGATTGCCTGTTTGGGGGATGTTGATTGCTTTTTTTGTCTGTTTTGTTGCTGGGGAGTTGTAGAGGGTTCTGAGCATCACCAGCTGTGATTCTAGGAAACTAGTATTTTGTGAGACCCATGACAGTTTCTTATGGTGGTAACCATCAAAGTAGTTCTGCTAGCACAAGGATTCTGCTTGCGTAACAGAACTTTCCCTCCTCACCTTTCCCCGTGTGCAAATCTGGGGGGAAACCCCAGAACAGATTTAGATGGGCGCAGGGAGAGGAGCAAGAGGTGAAATTCTGTTTCACAGCCAAAGTCCATGCCCTAGCAGAACTACTTTGTTGGACACCACCCTAAGATTTCTAAACATGCCCTTGGGCTCAAAAAGGTTGAGTATATATCTGATCTAGAGCTTGTTCCAGGGAATAGTGCATTTTATAAACTGATAGAAGGGATGACAGAATGGCCATCTTTCACTAGAATGCTGTATAGTGGTAACCCTCAAACAGACTCAGTGGACAACTGCTCAGTTTTTCCCCCACATTTGTCTGCTGCAACCAACATACAGCATTCCTAATTAGGGGATGGAAAATGTCTTCACAAGCTTAGTAAGCATTCTTAGAAACTTCATCCTAAACATATGCACAACCTCACATATCTTTATGTGAGGTTGACAAAGCCTCTCCTTTTCTTTAATGCAGCACTTATGCAACTGTTCTGCTGTTCTACTGTAATTGCAGGTGCAGCTGGTTTTGAAACAGTGTCTCCAAACTATGTCTCATCTTACATGTCAGTCACCTATACAGCCAAAATCAGATATCCAACAACAAAATTTCATTCTGAAGTATAACAAAATCTATACACATAAATTTCTTATTGTGCTGCTCTAGGAGCAGCTGTATAGTTAAAACAGCTGTTTCAGAATTCCATTCATAATAAAATCAAGATGATTCATCCTATCACTATGCAACTTGGCATAGCGAATCTACCTGGCAAAGGGTTTAAGCTAGCCACATTACCAAAAAGAAAGAAAGGGGGGAAAGCGAAAAAAGGAAAATGACTAAACTTAAAACAGTTAATTTTTTATCATTGAAGTGCAGGGGGATTCCGTGTTTTCTACAATTTTGGGGTACCTTCCATTTTTTCCTTTTTAGTTTAAATTATGTAAAAGAAAAGAGATACTACAGGGGTTTCCCTTTCCAAGAGTTAGGTGGGGATCCACTGTGTGTTCCTAAAGTTATGAGATTTCAAAGTTTCCAATTTAAACTAAGTGTAAGTTAATTCAGTACATGCTCATTGCCAGATTGTTGTTGCCTAGGTAAAGTTGGCCACCTCATGAGAAGAGAAGACTCCCTGGAAAAGACCCTGATGTTGAGAAAGATTGAGGGCACAAGGAGAAGGGGACAACAGAGGACGAGATGGTTGGACAGTGTTCTCGAAGCTACCAGCATGAGTTTGACCAAACTGCGGGAGGCAGTGGAAGACAGGAGTGACTGGCGTGCTCTGGTCCATGGGGTCACGAAGAGTCGGACACGACTAAACGACAACAACAAAGGTAAAGTTGGGTCCCTCCTCTGCCCTCTGAGAAAAGGTAATCATCAGGCTAAAAGGCTGAACAAAAGCCAGGAGGTAGGTAACATTAGTGCTGTGTCTGTTTTTATATGTGAAACAATGCCAGATGCATGTGAGCACCTTAGAGTGCTGTTGTGTGTTTGCCTGTGTGTGCAAGGATGTGCTATGATTGATTTGCAATTTCTGGCTCAGCTTAGCTTCATTGAGTGACCTGTTTTACACCTCTTTGTCACATTCTCTCAATTTGCAATCTCTGATAACTGAAGCAGACAACATTCTAGGGCTGCAATAGACACTCTGTCTCACCTTCCACTCCCATAACATGAGGATAACAACAGATTACAGTGTATGCCAAGTACACTTCTTAAACTACTAGATATACCAGGAAGATAATAAAAACTAGGAGAAATACTCTTAGAGAACTGATGTAGAGATTACTACTATAATTAATTAAATAAATAAATAAGTATTTTCAACATGTCAAATCACAGTATAAATGTTAATTAATATAGAGCCACAATTAAGTTAGATTTTAATGGATGCCTCCCTCCAAGGTGATCTATGTCATTCAGTGAATTTCCTTTAAGAAATACAATGAAATTATAAGATCAAGAAAACTTGGGGCTAATATGCTTACAAACTCATTCATCGAAAGCATGGAAGTTATGGGCATGGCAATTCCATTCCATGTAAGGCCAATATATACTATATCCTGTGCTCATCTGCAATGGAGCTTCCATTTATCTATGTGATCCTTCAGTCCAAATTCTGTAATTCTGCAGTTTGGCAACTCTGAAGGTGATTTTTCTAGCCCTAGAATACACATACACCTGGTCTAAGTAAAAGTGCACAGGCACTGAACACAAACACAACATCCTGAATTCTCACTCAACAGAAGCTAGATTCTACACCTAGGTATTCTGGCAGTCAACTCTTTTCAAACTAATCACATTGTTATATCCCTAATCAATATTTATTTTCAAAATGTACAATTTCACATTTAACACTAAAGGTTTATTTGAAAGCATGAAGAAGCATCAGTCTCATCTTTCAATTGGCTGCCTGTTTCATGTGAAGTACAAATCCAAAAAACAATCAGGAAAATTCTAACTTTTGAAAACGTGAAAGTTTTTGAGTCACTTTTTACTTATAAACAGCAATAATTGTAAGGAAAGAATCAGACTTAATTTAATACTTGTTGTAATTATAGAGACTCTGTCTCTCAATTCTATCTTTCAAGCTGGACTGACAAGTTCAATTTAAAGAAAACATGCTGCAAGCATTTTTCTTTGTGGTGCAGTTTAAATTGTTGGCAATAAAAAACTTGCTAGGGGCTTTGGAATGCTGCCTTCTTCTGTTTCCACTACTTTCCACAACTTGTATTGGCAACAAAAATAGTGGTTTTTAGAAATGTAAAATTTTAATTATAAATTGCTTTAAAACATAAATGGAATCTAATTGGTTACAAAATTCTATTCTAACATTATCAGGAGATTGTTTCATATAATTAATTTATTAAGGCCTAATTTGGAAGGTCTGGAAAGTTGCACATTTTGAATCCTTCAGGCAAATAACAAACTGATTAGTAAATGTAATAAAGTAATTTATTCCACTGACAAGTGGAATTAAGGAGTGCAATATCCTACTTGATCAATTGCCATTTTAAGAACATTAAAACTTCATACAATTATGCTATCTTTATGGTATGCAGAACCTGAACTCTAAATTAGCATCATCTTCCTTGCATGAGTGATTTAGTATGAAGTTTCAGACAGGTTGTGTTTTTTTAATGAAAAAGAAAGGAAAGAAAACCAGGAAGTCTCTACACACACAATGTAAGAGGAAATCATTATTTTTCATAGAAATTTAAATGAGCGTTAAATGTTCTTTAACTCATTTTAGGATACCTTGGAATGCTTAATTTCCAGAGTCTTTCTCTGCATGGATCAGCTTAACCATATCACTGTAGTCCATGCATTGGTAAACTCAAGGTTGGGTTACTGTAATGTGCTCTATGCCCTTTACCCTAGTCTGGAAGCTCCAGCTGGAACAGAAGGCAGGAGCTAGGCTGCTGGTGAGGTCAGATGGTAAAAGCATGTGACATCTCTCCTAGAAAATCTATACTTGCTGTCTCTATCCTACCTATCCTATCCTACCAGGCCAGGTTCAAGATACTGAAAACCCTTAAAAACTTGGGTCCAGGATATCTTATGAAGTGCCTGAGCCCTTATATCGCAGTCTGATCACTGAGATCATCCAAACTCAGAGCACTGTTAGTTGTCTCTGTGTTACCACCTACTATCTCAGCATTAGAGTTCTGTGATTTTACAGTACTTACCCCATGCTCTTTGGCAGCCATAACTACTTTAAAAAGTATGTCCTCCTCAACAAATGGTCTCACGGCATCATGGATTATTACTACTTCTGGTTTCTGAAGTGGTGAACTGAGAAGGTGGCTCTCTGCAAATTTTTTCAATCCATTGAAGATCGATCTATGACGAGTCATTCCACCTTCGGCTACTGTTGTTCGTTTGTGACCATATTTTTTTATAATAGACTTCATTACTTCAACGTTCTCCGGAGACACCACCACAACAATATCAGATATCCAGCTGATTCTATAAGGCATTGAATAAAATTATTTAATGCACATGTCTAAATATTCGAGTATTTTTTTTCCTAAATATTTTACTTGTTTGCCATTTAGGAACACTAGCAAAAAAAGCAAGACACAATTCACATGTTCAGAACAATGGTGAACTATGTTTTACCCAACAGAAATTTCTACATTAGATCTTCGAATTATAAATCTTCTCATTTACTCAACTAAATAACCAACTTTGTGACCAGAATTTACTCACAATTGCAATCTATTTGTTAAGATACAAAATATTCTTAGACATATACTATTTACTAGAGGCATAAGAAGGTTCTCTCCTATTATGACTGGGGTATAATAGGGTATGGCCTTAGGGAAACTTGTAGTGAATTTGCCAACTATGACCCCCATCTGCACTATACATTTAAAGCAGTATCATACCATTTTAAATATTTAAATCCTTGAACGATTCAATCAACGGTATCTCCGAAAAATTTTACACATCACTGGGGCAGATGGGTGAACTAATGTCCGTGTACTGGAAGAAATAAAGATCACCAGTGTCAAAGCAATGATTCTTCAACATCAACTTAGTTGGACTGGTCATGTTGTTCGGATGCCTAATTACTGTCTTCGTAAGCAGCTACTCTATTCCCAACTTAAGAATGGAAAGTGTAATGCTGGTGGTCAACAAAAGAGGTTTAAAGACTCTCTCAAGGCAAATCTTTTAAAAAATATAGTACAGTGGTACCTCGGGTTACATACGCTTCAGGTTACATACGCTTCAGGTCACAGACTCCACTAACCCAGAAATAGTACCTCGGGTTAAGAACTTTGCTTCAGGATGAGAACAGAAATCATGCTCCGGAGGCGCAGCAGCAGCAGGAGGCCCCATTAGCTAAAGTGGTGCTTCAGGTTAAGAACGGACCTCCGGAATGAATTAAGTACTTAACCCGAGGTACCACTGTACTGTTTAAACACCAACAATTGGGAAACACTGGCCTGTGAGTGTTCCAATTGGAGAACAGCCTTTACCAAAGCTGTTGTGGACCTTGAAGATGCACAAACTCAGGGTGATAAGGAGAAATGAGCTAAGAGGAAGGCACATTTGGCAAACCCTCACCGTGATCAACTCCCACCCAGAAAACTATGTCCCCACTGTGGAAGGACGTGTGGATCAGAATTGGCCTCCACAGTCACTTATAGACTCAGTGTTACGACTGTTTTCATGGAAGACAATCTTACATGGCTACGAGTGATCACCAAAGAAGAATGAGATATCACTTTACATAGCCATAGCTTTCCCCCCAACAATTCTGGGAACTTAATGTTTGCTATGGGTACTAAGAGGTGTTAGGAGACCCCTAATTCATCATGCGAAAGGCTGGGCTGGATGAATCCCTAGCCGGAATTAAGATTGCTGGAAGAAATATCAACAACCTCAGATATGCAGATGACACAACCTTGATGGCAGAAAGTGAGGAGGAATTAAAGAACCTTTTATTGAGGGTGAAAGAGGAGAGCACAAAATATGGTCTGAAGCTCAACATCAGAAAAACGAAGATCATGGCCACTGGTCCCATCACCTCCTGGCAAATAGAAGGAGAAGAAATGGAGGCAGTGAGAGATTTTACTTTCTTGGGCTCCATGATCACTGCAGATGGTGACAGCAGCCACGAAATTAAGAGACGCCAGCTTCTTGGGAGGAAAGCAATGACCAACCTAGACAGCATCTTAAAAAGTAGAAACATCACCTTGCCAACAAAGGTCCGTATAGTAAAAGCTATGGTTTTCCCAGTAGTGATGTATGGAAGTGAGAGCTGGACCATAAAGAAGGCTGATCGCCGAAGAATTGATGCTTTTGAATTATGGTGCTGGAGGAGACTCTTGAGAGTCCCATGGACTGCAAGAAGATCAAACCTATCCATTCTGAAGGAAATCAGCCCTGAGTGCTCACTGGAAGGACAAATCGTGAAGCTGAGGCTCCAATACTTTGGCCAACTCATGAGAAGAGAAGACTCCCTGGAAAAGACCCTGATGTTGGGAAAGATGGAGGGCACAAGGAGAAGGGGACGGCAGAGGACGAGATGGTTGGATAGTGTCTTCGAAGCTACAAACATGAGTCTGACCAAACTGCGGGAGGCAGTGGAAGACAGAAGTGCCTGGTGTGCTCTGGTCCATGGGGTCACGAAGAGTCGGACACGACTAAACAACAACAACATTTCCCTCACACAGCAACAGCTCCCAGGGTGATTTAACAATTAATCCTTCTTCCCAGTGAGTTTGCCTTAGTGGAAAGTGTTTTCATTCACAGAACCCAGTTTCTGCAGAAATCTCCTGCCAGTGCCATAACCCATGCTGTTCCAGAGGGTACCCAACCCTCAGAAACATATTTTTAGGGAGCCTTAGGTGGGTAAAGGGGACTGGTGAAAACTGGGACCGTGCATGAGCTGAAGTATTTTCACCAAGGCAAAAGCACCACTGGATAGAGCTGAACTTCTAAGTAGATGTTATTTCTACCAAAATGCAAGCTCAAAAATTACACTAAAAGAGAATATTTATTTAAAAAATAGTTTTCCTTTAAAATGTATCAAAACCTTTGCATGTTTTCAGATTGCATTCTATTTTGAAACAGAAGCTAAATGGAATGTTTTATATTAAGGGGTGATAATTAAGCTTTGGAAAGCAGGTCAAAAGGCAGAATATAGCACAAACAATATTTTTATTTTTATTTTTTAACCCAATACAGTACTACTCAGTGCTCGCTTCACTTATGAAATAGACGGAAGAATACAGTGTGTGGTGCTCATGAAAGACGATGAAGCAGATAACTTCATTCAAAGAAGCAAAAAGTAATAGATGGAATCAATTTCTGTCTTTTAGCAGACTTCATCAAGACGTAGATCCAAATATATCACAAAGCTAATCATGGGTCATAACTCCTTGAAAAGAAAAAAAGATTCTGGAACATAATGGAACTTGCAACTTTGTGCTAAAATGTTTTCCAGATGTCCCTTATTTTAGAAGACGCCAGCTCTCAGAAAAGGTACATCACTTGGTACTCTTTCGGGGGGGGGGGATATTTGATCTTTCCAGCTAAAGACACCTTTTTTAATTTGACCAAGGACTAGATGGTGCCTGTTCGGGGCAATATGCCATCAAAGAGCTATTGAAAAGGGAAGAAAGTCTGCAATTAGAAGATACTGGAAAGCAAGGAAGCCACAAATGATTGGAGTGGGGGGTCTTTTCATATGTTTTCTGAGAAGGGTACTAGCTGCTGATGAGTCCCAGAGATTGAGGCAGGAGCCAATTAAATTGTTAGCATGACACTGTATAAAGTGCTGCCAAAGCTCAAAGCAAGACATAGTAATCCTCTGGCATCTGTAAAGAATGAAAGCAACCCACCCAGGATGGGGTCAGAGAAGGCTTCTTGGAAAGAGCCAATACAGATGGAAAGAGAGAAGGGACATGCAGGGTGGCACAAGTGGGGGGCTAAGACAGCTAAGAATGAATGAGCATAAGTTGGAGTGCCAAAACAATGCTCATCCATCATGCCAAGGCATGCATAAATACCAACATATGCAGAAATTAGTGATAATGGAATATTAGTCAGTGTTAACCACACACACTAGTTTTTCCACCACTACCACCACAGGGATTTGTTGGAGAGAATGGTGATAAATCTATTCCTCTGGCACCATTGGCATGCAATAGGGAACACTTGCAGGGGTTCATCACAGTCAGTTTTAACCAATATGTTGATTTTGTGTGGGTGACAGAATCGCTCCGTTCCCTTCTAAAAACTGTATTTTTAACTCAGCTTCTGTGCTGTATATTTTGTATCTTTAAACAAATTCACATGCAAGTACTCTCTTCTGCCCAAGTGTGAAGGCTTTCTGGAACAGAAAAACACCCCACTCCTGAACTCAGACACCTCTTTATTGATTCACATAAACAGCCATTGTATTAGAAAAAATCTTCAGGGCTAAGCCCTGAGAATTTCTGACTCTGTATTCCCATTGCCCACCTTAACACACTGTTTGAAAAACTGCTGAGTACAACCATTCTTCATATATCCAAGTCATTTTCCTTTCTGCACATGGCAAAAAGGTCACTGACCGAATCATTCTTCACAGGCAAACACAGGGTAGTGGTGTGCAAAATTACAATTTATGCACCTGCCAAACTATCAAGACAACACAGTCTATGAGGAACAACAAAAGCAAAGAAGGGCAAGCCACAAAGGGTGGTAGGCAACACAAATGGGCCACAACAGGCGCAGAAAGAATGTTATTAAAAATGAACATGAGAAGACAAGATTGAATTCAACAGATGGGGTAGTAAGCATGCACCGTGTTGTTTCAAAACACAATAAACTTAACCTAAGTCAATGTTATTTCAGGCTCAGTCCTGGAATCTATTTTCAGCATGCAGGGCCTCAGTCACATATAAACCAGTTCATTTCCAACATTCCAACGGACTCTCATGCAGAATGTTAAACCTTTTCATACTCAGAAGCTCCATTAGCCCATACATGCAGTACAGCACTGATCCTTAATTTGCCTCCATATGCAAGTAATGCTGTAATGCCACTGGGCTGATCCACCTTAGGTCAGGATACAATCCAGCTTTGAGTCCTGACCAGCTAGTGAGACTATTGCCCTAGTGGGGCTAAGAACCCTGGACTGGATTATGCAGATAAAGAGAAAAGCTATACAAAACTGGGGCAGGCTTGATTCTCAATGGAATACTCTAGAGTCTAGAGTACAGGCGTCCCCTCATTTATGCAGGGGTTATGATCCTGGGCCCCACAAGCATAAGTAAAATTGCATAAAGTGCAGAGCACCCTCTAAAAAGTCTCTAAACGTCTATTTTTTTCTGCTCTCCAGTTCCCTCTCTAACCCAGACCAAAATATCTAGAGTTGAAGCTCTGGGACCAGCTGGAGGTTGGAGGACACACAGGAAAGTGGCAGCAGTGGCTGCTGTGCTACCCCACATGTCAGCTATTAGGTAAACAAAACCCCACTGCGCCACAGGTCTCTTTGGGGCTTCCTCCGCCCTCTTCAGGTTCTGGGGAGGGTCTCCTTGTAAGCTGCGAGGACTCTCCAGCTCTCTCCCACCACTTCCTGGTACAGTATGATTCTATTTATTTATTTATTTCCCAGCACCATGCAAGCAGAACACAGGTAAGTGGGGAGATGCCTGTAAGTAATCAGGGCCAGGGAACAGATTTAATGCCAATCACAATAATGTATCCAAGTGATAGCCTCCTATTTTATCTATTCACCCATGGCAGTCCAAATTTTATGGTATCCAGAACTGAAAGCAGTACTGCCCCATGGCTGTATGGCTCCCTGTTTGCACCAACTGGGTATAGACTTTGACATCAGCATTTCTGACAGTTCGGAAAAATGACAGTTGGAGGAGCTGGAGCAATAAAGGCCTGCCATGAATAGCTGGGAAATACAGGATAGGGGTGGTAGCTATTCCAAAATATTAACTGTAGAGTTAAAGGGTACAACTGCATGGAGTCTATTCTTTGCGGGCTCTGACAGTGTCTCTCCAACTTTTCAGGCAGGCCTCTTTTTCCAGCCATACCAGGACTTGACAGGGAGAAGGACTTGGGACCCAGTGCATGCAAATTATATGATCTCCAAAGAGTTATGGCCCCATTCATCACATTATTTACATGCTTACAGTTACTGATGTAGGGGTTTCAGTGCCTTATTTTCCCCACATAATTTTTTCCATTTCATAATTTCATTAGTAACAGTAAATAGATGTCAACTACAAGTAAATATTAGGCAATGCCACTAGCTTCATTTACTAAACACAGTTATGCTAAATTAGATTACTCCCTAGGACATCATAAAAATTTCCAGTGTAAATTACCCTAATTCCAATTCAATTTTTTTAATTAAAAAAAACAACCACATCACTTGCAATGATTTTTCTTTTCTTCCCATCAAACCTACAACTTTAGGATTTGGAATTACCTGGAATATGAAATGACCTGGGATATAGACAGCTACATACTCAAGATCATTTACAGACCAAACCTGTGAATACTTTGAAAAAGCCCACTCATTTCAAGCAGCTTAGGTGTACCCAGCTGCATAGGATCAAATTCCAAACCTGCAGTTCAAAACACAGTAAGATCTTCCCTGAACTTAGTGGGACCTCCAAGTCAACATGTACCATGTACGCCACCTTGAGCTCCTTAGAAAAAAAGTGGAGTGTAAGTGTAAAAGATAAATAAGTACAACACATGCTTAAGCTTCCATTAGTGATCATGAGCACTCAGAACTGCAAATACTTTTTACTAGATGAGGCTCCATAGGACAAGGGGTCCGAGTAGGTGGGGCTTGCCTTTGAACATCTCCCTCATCTTAGCAATAAAGCCCTGGAATCAAGGCTGCAAAACTAGTGTTTAATCAGAATAAACACCCCTGCATTCAGCAGGTAAGTAAGCACGACTCTGAAAGCGAATCCTCGCGAAATCAATAGGTCTTTTCACGTGTGCACATAATACAGAGCTGAATTTGATTTCCTGACTCCCCTTCCTTTTAAAATGTTTCTAAGTAGGTTAAATTGTAAGCTTCCAGGCAGAGCTGCGTCTTCTTCAAAATCTCAGGTGCGTGAAGTGCTATTGCCATGATTATGACCCGCATTTTTGGCAAAAACCCTTATTGGGACCGACCCCAACGTTGCCCAAATGCGATATTTTTGCGCGGGGGGGGGGGTTCCCCTCATACACCCACACTGTTTCCTTTGCGTTTTACACATTGACAGTTATTATTTCTCTTGGAAGGCGGGGGGGGGGCATTCCTGTCAGCCCTGGAGAGCGTGTGCGCATGCGTGGGTGAAGGGAAAAAGCCGTTGGCCGCGCTAACGGCTGGCGTGAGGGAAGAGGAGGAGGCGGCGGCGGCTATTTACCTTTCCATGGCTCGCACCGTGTAACTAACGAGCGGCCTCCCCAGCAGAGCGCAGAACTGCTTCGGAGTGCAGCCGCCCAGGCGCTCCCCGCTTCCTCCGGCGGGGAGCACCGCCGCCACAGACACCGGCGGGCGTCGCTCCCGAGGCGCCTCCGAGCCCTTGCCGCCGCAACTGCCCTCCCTGAGGTCAGTCACCGGCAGCTCCATGGTGGAAATCCGAATTGTGGCTCCTTTTCTCTCTTCACCACCCCGGAAGAAAAGGTTGTTGCGCGCGCGCCAGGGACGGAGAAGGGGCTTGTCTCGAGCAGCCGCAGCCGCCCGCCTCACTTTTGACCCCCAAGCCTGGCTGTGAGTCGCAAAAACCATCGGGCGCGCTATACCGGCTGCCTGGATAGCTCGCCCCCGTTGAACTGATCTCTTGCCTCACATATTCTCAACAAGCCACCATCCTTTTACTTGTTGATCCTCTCCCGCCCCCGGTATTTTTTTTATTTTTATTAAATTTACTTTGTTTTTGAGTGGGTTTGGCTGGCCCTTTAAATTGCCCCTCTTAGAAACGAGGGAGGGAGGGCGACGCTTGCGTTCTTTCTGCGCATGCGCCTTGCCATTTAAAAACAAAAAAGGGCTGAGATTCAAAGCGGAAGCCACGTGGCTGCCGTCGGCGTCACACTGCCTTCAGTTTAATGCCTGCGACGTTGTGGCTAGACATGGTTATCTTGTAGACTGTCTACGTTAAGGATGTTGCCCTAGTTTTTTTACTACAGTTCGATGCATAGGTAATGTTTCAGCACAGAGACCAGTTACTTGCTTTGTGTCACTCTGCAATTCAGTAGCCTGGGTTGCAGGACAGGACAAGGCTAGCTATGGCGTGCGAGGAGTTCTCTAGCTACTTTGCTGCTCCCTGGCCGTTTGTGCTGCCTCCTCACATGCACTGTCCACATGGGTAGAGAATGTGATGCCCTTCAGATATTGCTGGACTCCAGCTCCCTTCAGTTCCAGCCAGAATGTCCAGTGATTAGGGAAGAGGGGAGTTGGAGTCCAGCAACTTCCGGAAGTCACCATGGCCCATGGGTGTAGCTGAGTAGGCAGCTGACCCCCATCAAGTAAATAAAAATACTTAACTAACTGACCAATAATGCCTGCCCCCCCCAAAAAAAAATCCTGACTATGCCCATGCCATGGATCATGACAACTCCAGGGTTAGCATGTTGATTGAAACGGCCGTCACAGGTGAGCTCTTCTTACTAACCACAAGCTGTAGCCAAGATCTCTAATGGTTTTAGCTTTATAATGCTGTCTTGGGATCAGTGCAAATTGTTGCTAAGTGGCACCAACAGGGTTGGGTACTAGATCACAGACACCAGTCCCCAAGATAAATGCTGCAGAGTAAACCCAAATTACTTAATTCAGAGTTAACTTGTAGCAAGTAGTTGTGTTAATTTATTCTGGAAAAGCCCAAAGGAATTACAGAATAATACCATTATTAGAGGTAAATAAAACACCACTAGGTAGTAAGGTGGTTCTGGGAACTTCAAAAGTTTGTTCGCTGTATTGTGATATTTTTAGTTGGCCCTAATGACATTAGTAGAGTGTTTGACTAGCAACAGGGAGACATTGCTGAGTTCAAATGTCAACCCAGCCATAAAGTTTACTGGGTGACAATGGACAACCTACTGTTTTTTCAGCCTAAAGTAACTCAGAGGTTTATGAAAATAAAATGAAGCAGGGGAGAATCTTTAGCTCCTTGGATGAGATATGGGAAATAAACATAATAAATAAATTGGCATTTATAAAAAGCTTACCCAAGTTCAGCATTAGAAATTCTCCAGGCGCATTTTGTACCTGGCTACTGGCCACTTGCACCCAAGAGAAGATGCCTGGATGCCAGGATAGCTCCTGATGTCTCTACCATGCTGAGGTGCATGCCTGGGGATCCTTGGATCTTGACTATTTTCAGACACTAGCAACACATCCTGTAGAACTCTATCCGTTATATTTTCTCTGCACAAGCAGAATGAAGAAGAAGAAGAGGAGTTTGGATTTGATATCCCGCCTTTCACTCCCTTTAAGGAGTCTCAAAGCGGCTAACATTCTCCTTTCCCTTCCTCCTCCACAACAAACACTCTGTGAGGTGAGTGGGGCTGAGAGACTTCAGAGAAGTGTGACTGGCCCAAGGTCACCCAGCAGCTGCATGTGGAGGAGCGGAGACGCGAACCCCGTTCCCCAGATTACGAGACTACTGCTCTAACCTCTACACCACACTGAAAATGAATTTCGTCTGGTCCAAAAATGGCAACTAGGCGTTCTGTTTTGATGACTGTAACCTTGGTTTAAGGAGCCATTTAGCGCCTAACATCTGAAGCAGGAGAACTGATAACACTCCAAGAGGCAGAGCTACTTATGTAGGTACTGGAGCACATAGGGTTACCATTAATTCTGCCAAAAGATCACAGTGTTTGGATGTCAATGTAAACCATTGCTAGGAAGCCTGGACTACCTTACTGGACTACATCTTTGACTATTGGCCAGGCTGACTGGGGCTGATGGGAGTAAATCTTGCAAATTCTGAATGCTCCCCACCCCTGAAGTAAACTCTTGTTTCTGACTTTTATTCATCTGAATGACACTTCCAGACTGACATTTAGGGAAGTGGGATAGAGCTAACTATACCTCTTTGTTTCCCATTAAAATGCTCTTGACATATGTAAATAGTCGTTGTGCCCTACAATGAATGGCAGCTGTCTTTAAATATTTCAGTACAATTGCTTATTCACTGTATGCCTAACAATATAAGCTACTGTTGATTTTTTTTGAAAGGCCAAGCCAAAATTATAGCTTTGAGAGAGTTCCTGGTTGTCTGCTAAAAGGTGCTCATTGTGTACTGAGATGGAAGTTAAATGCTTCCTTTTCCCAAGTTGCTTATCCAACCAATTGGTGACTGCAAACACTTCTATATATCAGTTGGACCTTTCTTTTTTAAAAGAGCTACTAAAGAAGGTATTACTTAACCCACAACAATAGCTGCCATTCTATGCACACATATAACACATTGTGGAGATTAGTATCCCTTCCTTGAGAGATAGCATGCTGGACATGCATTTGTTCACTTGACAACATAATCCTATGCATGTCTACTCAGATGTTAGTCTCATTAAGTTCACTGAGGCTTCATCCTAGATAAGTGCTTGTGGGGTTGCAACCTGAAATACTTAGTGACCTGGACAGAATCTAGCAAAAATCAGCCATGACTAAATTCCACTGAAAGCAATAGAATATGATTTAGTTATGGTTAAAAGTGGGACCTGAAACAAAATGCCATTGTATGTCTTCTCACTTTGGGGCCTTACCTGTTGTGCTATACAGTGCCAAAGGGCTGCCAGCTGACCCCAAATCTGAGCGTTTTATAGCTATATAGGGGTGGGCCATGCAGTTCTGAAGATGGGAATGGCATCCTCCAACCTAATTCTGCCCTTCAGAAAACTACAGTATAAGCTATCAGGGGGAGCATGAGCAGGCTGATTTCTTCTCTTTCTCAGCCCCTCATTTTCCTTTCAGTTGGTTGTTTTCAGTTTACACTCCACACAGTGGCGTAGCGTGGGGGGTGCAGGGGGGGCCGGCCGCACCGGGCGCAACATCTGGGGGGCTCGCACTCGCAGCTCTCTGCCCCCTGCTAAAATCCACGGGTTAGGGGGCACAAATTACTTGCCTTGCCCCGGGTGCTGACAACCCACGCTACGCCACTGACTCCACATTTCCAGTGGCTCTCAGTAACCAACAAACAAAGCCATGGGAATCCAAGCAACAGTAAAATAGAAGTTATTATTAGCATGTAAAAAAAACCTATGCAAGTGTATACCCATACAATACAAAAGACAAGTTATCCAAGCCACTATGGCCACTGTAGAAACAAAAAGCTCTCCAAATAATGGGGTTGATGGGAATTGGAGTCCAACTGCATGTGGAGGACCACAGATTCCCCACCCTTATGTCCTCGGGGTTTACTCCTGAAGCTTTTCTCATGAATAGCTGCAAGGCAGTGGAGGTTTAGTTTTCAGTCTCCTAGAAGTGTAATAATAAGTACAGTGGTACCTCGGGTTACATACTCTTCAGGTTACAGACTCCACTAACCCAGAAATAGTACCGCGGGTTAAGAACTTTGCTTCAGGATGAGAACAGAAATCGTGCTCTGGCGGCGCAGTGGCAACTGGAGGCCCCATTAGCTAAAGTGGTCTTCAGGTTAAGAACAGTTTCAGGTTAAGAACGGACCTCCAGAACGAATTATTTAACCCGAGGTACCACTGTAATTAATAATTAGTAAAAGTTAATATGCTCTGAATTGTATGGTTATTGTGTTCACTAAATATCTAATGAGTCTAAGCAATAAATATCTGTGGTTTCTCTTGCTGTTACATGTTTGTGCAAAGCACATGTTGGGGAGAGGAGGGAGTATGCACTGAAACCTACTCAGTGCTCTCAGTTTTTGAACCAATGGGGTTAGGTCCAGTATTTAAAGAGCCCCCACCCCTGTTACATCATTAGAACCTGAACATAAACCTATGAAACTTAGAAAAGAGCAAAAAATATCAATGTTTGGTCCAGATCCTAGGTATTGCACCCTCACTAAAGGAGACTGTATTTCTCTTTATCTTATATGCTGCTTTATTACAAGAATGATGACTAGACTACTGATCCTAAACTGAATATTTAGTTGCCCAACCACCCCCTCCAGAACCCACCATTCTCAACTGACTCTCAACTGCCTCGCATTCAAACTCCCTTTCATATCCTCATCCAATCATCACTTACCACCAGAATTCCACAATCTCTCTTTCCCCCTCCCTCCTTGACATTCCCATAATAATTCTGATACAATTACCTTAATAACCCTATTACATTCAGTATTTTATACACACTGCTTCCTATAACCATACTGTTAGAAGCACTTGAGCTTCCCATTCCTGGTTCCTAGGAAATGGGGGTGAGCAAACTGCAGGTTCTTCATCCCTGTTCTAAACAGGTGTCTTCCCCCAAATGATCCTGGGAATTGTAGTTTGTTAGAGGTTCTGGGGATTGTAGGTCTGGCACGAATCATTCCGGGGGAAGTAATGTGCTTTAAAGGCACATTGGATGCTCTTTAAAACATAGCATCATAGAATTGTAGAGTTGGAAAGGACCCCAGGGGTCATCTAGTCCAACCCCCTGCAATGAAGGAATCTCAACTAGATGATCCATGGCTGATGGCCATCCAAGCGCTGCTTAAAAACCTCCAAGGAAGGAGAGTCACTGCTTCAGGCCCTAAGGGCCTCTGGAGCAGGAGAAAACAAACTTCCTCCATCCTCCATGTGACAGCCCTTTAGACTTTAGTTATTGAAAGGGCTGTATGGTTTGGATCTCATATCAGTGTTATGAGAGTGTAAGCAACACATTTCTCTCTCCCCTTTCTCCACACCATGCAATGGTACCAATTGCAATGGTAACCA